AGCAGTAATTAAGCTCTGTCCTAGGTTTCTATTGCTGTGAAGGGACATCCTGACCACAGCAACTCTTTCAAAGGAAGCATTTCATTGGAGTTGTTTTATATGTTCAGAGGTTTAGTTCATTATCATCATGGCAGGAAGCACGATGGGGCACAGGCCGACATGGTGCTGGAGAGGTAGGTGAGAGTTCTACATCTGGATCTGGATCAGCAGACAGTAGGAAGGGGGGAGGGAGGAGAGGGGGGGGAAAGAGAGAGAGAGAGAGAGAGAGAGAGAGAGAGAGAGAGAGAGAGAGAGAGAGAATGCCATTCCCTATGAGCCTATGGGGGCCATTTTGATTCAAACCACCACACCATCGGTTAGACAAAGAAGCAGCATGGGACAATATTTTTACCAACTACACATTCTATACAGGGATAAAGAACTAAAAAAGAAAACTGGATATCAAGAAAACAACCCAATTTAAAAAAAAATGGGATGCCAGACTAAACAGAGAGTTCTTAAAAGATGAAACTCAAATAAATGAGAAACACTTAAAAATATTCAACATTGGGCCGGGCAGTGGTGGCGCACACCTTTAATCCCAGCACTTGGGAGGCAGAGGCAGGCGGATCTCTGTGAGTTCGAGACCAGCCTGGTCTACAAGAGCTAGTTCCAGGACAGGCTCCAAAACCACAGAGAAACCCTGTCTCGAAAAAAAAAAAAAATCAATGTCCTTAGTCATCAGGGAAATGCAATCAAAACTATTTTTAGATTTCATCTTATACCACTCAGAAATTGTGAAGATGAATAAAAGAAACGACAGCTCATGCTGGCAAGGATGCAGGGAGAGGGAAGCACTCATCCATTGCTGGTGGGAGTGAAAACGTGGAGTCACTATGGAAATCAGTGTGGCAGTTCCTCAGGAAGCTGGGAGTAGATCTACCCCAATACCTAGCTATACCACTCTTAGGCAAACACCCAAAGGACTCTACATCCTACTACAGAGACACGTACTCATCCATGTGAAACGCCCTACTCATAATAACCAAAAACTGGAAACTGCCTACATGTCCATCAGAAGATAAATGGATAATGAAAACATAGACCATTTATGCAGCGGTTATTATTCAGTTGTGAAAAAATGAAATTATGAAATTTGCAGGTGAATGGGTAGAGTTAGAAAAAATAATCCCGAGTAAGGTAACCCATACCCAAGAAGACAAATATATGTGTTTTCTTATATATGTATGTTAGCTTTTAAGCCTTCAATAGGCATGCTACCAGAATAACCACAGAGATTAGGTAGAGAGTCAGGAACTAGTGGGGAGGGGATGCTCTTCCAAGGAAGGAGAAATAGAATGTATAGTTAGAGACAGGAAAAAAAAAAAAAACAGTGATGTGGGATGCCCTTCTGTATGCTGTCAATATGTTTTATTACCATTGGTTAGTAAAGAAGCTAATTTGGCCAATGTCCAGCCAGAATAGAGCCAAGTGGGAAATCCAAGCAAAGATAAAGGGAGAAAGAAGGCAAAGTCTGAGAGATGCCAGCAGCCTCTGGGGAAGCAAGATGTGAGGTAACAAGCAATGAGTCTTGTGGCAAAATATAGAATAATAGAAATGGGCTAATTTAAGTTGTAAGATCTAGTTAATAATGATCTTGAGCTAATAGGTCAAACAGTTTGTAATTAATACTAAGCCTCAGAGTGGTTCTTTGGGAAGTGGCAGGCAGGAGAGACCTCCAGTTACAAAACAGAGAAGGGGAGGGAAAGGAGTAAGAGAGGAACACATGGAGGACCAACTAACACTAAGGGCCATTTGAAGGGCCGTATGGAAGCCTACCACAGTAGAAGCTTCTTCAAATACATACATATGCGAAAGGAATTAAATGGAATCACCAAATAACAGAGGAGACAACGCCCAATTGGACGTCTCTCACCTTCAAGTGAGAGGAATGGGTTATATCTAATTGAACTGTTAGCCAAAGGGACCCCATGGAAATCCCCAAACAGCTCAGGATACTGCAAGGCTGTTGGTTGCTCTCCACAAACTGATGATAAGGTTCTATTGCCAAAGACAACACTTACATATCTCATTGCACAAGTAGAGATGGTGGTACCTAACTAGAGACTTCACCTCTGATACTGAAAACTATTCTGCATGGTACCCGAGGTAACCACCAACCCTGCTACAAATCCTGTGATCTATAATTGTGATCTGTCTGCAAGATGTGTAGTGATAAGAGCAGTTTCTTTATTAATAAGAAATCACTCCCACATCAAAGATGTGCTGGTGTAATAGTGGCACAAAAGTTGTGAAACTATCTGGTTGAATTTAAAGCCCACCGCATGGGATGGAACCCATGCCTGACACAGTTTTGGTGGCCAAGAACCTGAGAGGAGGGGGCTGGAGAGATGGCTCAGAGGTTAAGAGCACTGCCTGCTCTTCCAAAGGTCCTGAGTTCAATTCCCAGCAACCACATGGTGGCTCACAACCATCTGTAATGGGGTCTGGTGTCCTCTTCTGGTCTTCAGGCATACACACAGACAGAATATTGTATACATAATAAATAAATAAATAAATATTAAAAAAAAGAATCTGAGAGGAGATAGGCCGTGGACCTAGGGAAAACCAAATACTGCTGCTGCAGAATAATCCTTCTGTGCACTGTGAATATATGTTACTCTCATTGACTAACAAAGAACTGACTGGCTAGTAGCCAGGCAGGAAGTATAGGCAGGACAGCCAAACTGAGAATGCTGGCTGGAAGAAGGGCAGTCAGTGGAATGGCCAGCAGACACAGAGGGAGTAAGATATGCTGGAGGACAGGCAAAGCCACGAGTAACGTGGCAATACATAGATTAGTAGAAATGGGTTAAGTCGTAAGTTAATTAGTAATGAGCCTGAGCTATTGGCTGAGTATTTATACTTAAAAACACGAATCTCTTGTGGTTATTTAGGAGGTGGTTGCTGGGACGGGAAAACTTGGCCTACATAGTACTGTTCTAATAAAGTAATACAGCTATAAAATGAGAGTCCTAACAATCTTTTTTTATATTTATAGATCAGTGCCTCACTCAGCCCTCATCAGAGAACTTCTTCCTATAGTAAATGGGAACTGATACAGAGACCCACAAGTGGACAATGTTTAGAGAGTGAGAGATCTTGGGACACTCAGCTCTAAATAGTATGTCTATATCAAATCCTTCCCCTCTGAGCTCAAGGAACTCTCTAGAAGAGGTGGAAAGATTGTAAGAGCCAGAGTGGATGGATGATACCAAGGAAACAGTGTCTTTTAGACACAACAGGATTGACTTGTGTAAGTGGTGGCAGAGAAAATACTGAATTACAGGGCCTGGAGTTTCAAGGCAGATGGGCCCCAGTTTTGAGAGAGAAAGCAGACCTGAGCCCCCAGCCCTAACCAAGAAGCTATCTCTGATTGACATCTACCTGCAAAGGAAAAAAAAATTAAGTTTTCTTCAATGAAGTCTCACACTAATGGGTAGGCTCCATGCCCAACCGTAGATGGACACCCAAAACGAGTAATGGTATTTTTGTGGACTTTTTGTCTTATAGCATTGAGTTTGGGCATTTTTTTTTTCCTTTTTCTTTTTTGGATTTACTTGTCTTTTGCTTGTATATTATAGTTTCCATGTTTATGTTTATATGGGTCTTTTCTCTCTGTTGTATGATTCATGTACTTCCTCTTTGTTATTTTTCTTCAGGTTTGTTTGGCTGTTTTCTAAAGAGATAAAGAAGGCATGAGGTTGGGCGGTTGGGAGAATCTGGGAGGAGTTGGGGGTGGGAAAACCATGACCAGAATATATTGTATGAAAAATAACATTTTCAATTAAAAAGTTAATGGCAGACACATGTCAACAAAGAACTCCAAAAAGGCCACGTCCACACAACCGAGGCATTTTACCCTCAGATTTTATGTTGCTACAGTACTAGGTAGTCTAGCCTCAATTCTCCCAGTTGCTTTGGTAGAGTTCCTCAACACCTATTTCGTCTTATCCACTGTCCAACTTAAAAATCACAAAAACAGTTAGCATTAAATCCTTCCTTTTTCTTCCTAAATCTAGAACAGTCTACTAGCCTTTTCTTTGTCTTTCGTGACACTGACTTTCCGAAGAGAATGCATTTGATTTGCAGAATGTCCCTTAATTTTTGATTTGCTTCCTCACTGAGACAAATTACACGCTTTGTCAAGAATTTTGTGAACCACAGGACACAAGAAGACAATCTATCATTCGCAGTGACGTTAGCTTTAATCACTTGGTTAAGGCGATTTTCTTGCTATGAAGGTCTCTTCCACTTCAGTAAGTAATCCATGGAGTCTCAGAAACCATAGGCACATCCTTAACCATATTCTAAGGAATCCATTGTAATTATGGTGTGTGTCTCCAAAGTGGTGGTTTCCTGCTTGTGTAATTTCTCCTTCATTGACGTCTTGGGTCCTCTTCTCAAGATAACCTCTCTCTCCTCCATTTCCTCTCCCTTCGGATTAACTCGCAGGTTTCTCAATCTCCCAGTCGCTGATCCCCTGGGGCCTATGTTTTCCCATCCTTACAGCTGAGAAGAGTGTGGAGGCACACTCGACAATGACAGTCGACCTGGGCTGATGTCTCCTTTAGAGATCTGCAACTGAGAAGACGCGGAGGCGCACTCTACAGTGACAGGCGACCTGGGCTGATGTCCCCGTTAGAGATCTGCAAGTCATCCACCGGAGGATGGCCAGGCCCGGGAGTGACATTCCAGCCGGAGGCACGTGTCTGCAGACGCAAGGCAACAGTAGCCATGGCTTCGGCACGTTCTCGCGAGAACCCCCGCCTCCGGGCACGGACGGGGTCCTCCAAGCTTTTTGTCCTTTTTCTCAACCCCCACCGGTCACCCGCCTGCTGGAGGGGGGGGGCGGAGGGGGGGGGAGAGAAAGAGCCTCTCGCGCACGCCAAGCCGGACAGTTGGCGGACGCGTCCCCCGCAACCCCCTGCGCGCCGGGCTGGAGGCGCGGCACCGCGCGCGCGTCCGCGCGCTTCTGGGGCGACGGACGCGCAGGCGCAGCGGGGAGCGAGGTCGCGCAGGCGCGGACGGCGTTGGTGTGAGAAGACCTTCAGCGTTGCCTTGGTGGAGCGGGACGGGACGGGGCCCACCCTCGGGTTGGAGGTGAGGCGGCCGCCGCCCCGGGCCGGGTGGGCGGAGGGCCGGCGGGTCTGACTAGCCGAGGCCGCCGAGGAGAAGCCGTGGGCCGCCGGTCCAGAGCGAGGCGAGGCGGGGAGACTCCGGCTGCCCGAACCTTGCTGGCCGCCTGAGGGCGGGAGTCGCCTCCCTGGGCCGCGACCTTCCGCTGTGCCCGGCGTGCGCACTGGCGATCTGCCCGGGGTCAGGGCTGGAAGGAGGGCGGTTTCTAGAGGAGACGAGCCCTGGTACCCCAAAGCTACACCCCACCTTGCCCTCCCTCACGTCCCTCTCTGACGTGTCCAGCATCTGTCAGACGCGGCTTGCACTCCTGACGGCCGAAGTGAGGATGCTCTTCATGCATCTTGGAAAGGAGAAACCAGGAACAAAAGAGAAGCTGTGGTATCTAGTTGGTGCCTTTTGTTTTCCTCTCGGGGTCCAGTGCAGCCTCGGGGCATGGTGCATAGCTGTTTTGTAGAGCGGATAGACATGGGAGGCTGTGGCTTTACTCTCGAGTAATATGGAGTCTCCGTGTTTTCTCGATTTTTGCTTGATCATACCAGCAGTGCATTGCCCATCAGAATTGTGGGCCTGAATAAAGGACAGTTTGGGCATAAACGAGTTCAGTTAGCCACTTGACTTTTGCAAAGCCATGATGTTGAGAAACAGGCGATCAGAACGCTCAAAGCTTGTAATTAACACACATTTTGACCATTTTAGTGTATTTTCTTCCCAGTCGGCATAATGAACTTTAAACATTTCTGTCTGAATATCTAAGACCTGCATTTCTATACCGCTTTCCCAGAATAATGGCAAACAATTTACATCACTACCGGAATTGTAAAATTGCCCTGCTAGTGGAGTCTAAACCCTGCAACATAGAGCACAGTTTTATTATAGATTGATATAGAACAACACTACTCATTTGCCTTGACTCTTCGACTTTTCTTTTGGTTGGTGCCTCCGATAGAACCCGTGACCTTTTCTGTGTAAGACAATTGCTTTACCCATATGCCACCCCTTTTCTCTTTGTCATTTTTTAAGGTGTGTGTGGACTTGTTTGTGTGGTATAAGTACATGTTTGTGTGCACACATATGTGCATATGGAGGCCAGTGGTTAACATTGGTTGGGTATCTTCCTTAATTGCTCTCTTATTTTTTGAGGAATGGTCTTTTCTCTGAACTCATCCATTTGGCTGGGCTGGTTAACCAGCAGGCTCCAGGGTTCCTTCTGTCTCTGCCTTGTCCCTACTCCAATGCTGTATGGGTCCTGGGGATTCATGCTCAATACCTCAAGTTTGTGTGACACACACTTTGCCAACCGAGCCCTTTCTTCTGCCATGACATTATATATGATGTTTCAGTGTGTTCTTTCCTCTTAACTTTATATCACAGTGTGTTTAGCAAGTACAATTTTTAAATGCATTCCCAGTTAGGAAATTAGTCATCCTGAATATGGTGACATACAACTATAATCCCAGCCTGGGCTATAAACTAAGGCCCTGTTCAGCTATTGTAAAAGCCTAACAGAAATTCAGATTAAGAGTTGGACTTAGTGTAAATACATAGGCTATTTAAAGGATTTGTGACATGTCCATAGTTCAGGCATAGTGATTGTAATTTGCAGGTGTGTTCAGCCTGCTGGCATTGTGACACAGCTTCACCTATAAAATTCATGCTCAGTAACTTTGTCATCTATAAAGGTCATGCTCAAGAACCAGGCAATCAGCTTACAAACAAATCAAAAGCAAGGATACAGGGTCTCAGTGTGTAGCAACCCCTGCCTTGCTTCAGGCTTATAAACTGTGTCTGCCTCTGCCTTCTGAGTACTGGGGTTCAAGTCGTGTGTCACCATGCCCAGCTAATGTTTTATTTTATATATGGAGTGTGTGTGTGTGTGCACTTCTGCATGCTTTTGCCTCTGCCCACGTGTGATGGTCAGGGGATGACTTGGGGGAGTTGGTTCTATCCACCATGTGTGTTCTGGCATCAGAATCAGGTTATTAGGTTTGGTACCTTTACTTGTTGAACCATCTTACCTGCCCGAATTAGAGAGCTAGTGTATTTGTGTATGTGTAGATGTGTGCATGAAAATGGGCTGGAGAGATGGAGCACTGCCTGCCCTTCCAAAGGTCCTGAGTTCAATTCCCAGCAACCACATGGTTGTTTGAGGAAGAGACCTGGTCAGTCTTACACCATGAAACCCAATATGGACAAGTTCAACAGAACCACCATATACGGGCTATCCATGCATGCTTCAGCATTGCAAGGACATAAATTTCAATTTCAAGATGTATGCACACCACTGCCTGATTGTGGAGGTCAGAGGACCTTGTGGGCGTTGTCTGCTTCCATCATGTGGGTGTGAGGTTCAGAAGTCAGGTCATGAGTCTTGCCAGTTACTGCCTTCACCCCATCTCACCAGCTCCACATCTCATGGTAACGTTTATTCTTTTGTCGGTAGTGGGCACTTTCATTGCTGTCCTTGGCTGCATGTGTCCCCCAGGTGGAACATGCCTGGAACTGATACTCTGGAATTTTCTGGTATCATAAAATCCTGCTAATGGGATTGTTTGAGGTAGTTACAAATTGTTTAGATTGGGCTTCTGAGTCTTTAACAGGAAGACGACAGAAACTGCTTCAGGAGTCTGCTTTGCAGAGGTCTGAGGGAGGTTATATTCACTGAGATTTCGTTATGTGGATCTTACTGGCTTTTTGCAAAAGCTGGGTGAATAATGAGAGCCAAGATACAAAGCCAAAGTGCCTTGGATTTTCAAAGGTTGTAATTTCAAAGTTCACACCTATGACTGGTAAACAGGTTACCACAGATGAATTCTATTCTGTTTCTAGGTAGTGGTAAAATTATACCATTTTAAAAAATCTTTGGAAAAGACCATATTATGGAAGAGTGTATTTAATTTAGTAGGCTTAAAAATATTTTTATTTATAGTGTGTATTTGTATGTGTTTATGTCACATGTGTGCAGATGGCTTGCAGAGACCAGAATGTTGGGTTCCCTAGAGCTGGAGTTGGAGTTATGGGCTACCTGACTTGTGCTGGTAACTGCTGAGCCACCACTCCAGTCTTTGTAGGTGTTTTTCTTTGTTTGTATTTTTGAGATAGGATCTTGTAGCCCAGACTGACTTTGGTTTTGAAGTCTTCCTATTCTATATTGTTGAGACACCTGGTTCAGTCTCTCGAAGCCTTTTTATTTTATGTTTAAATTTTGTTTTGAGACAGGGTTTCACTATGTTGCTCTTATAGGACTGTAACCCTCTGGTAGTCAAGGGTGGCCTTGAACTCACCACTTCTCTCCTGAGAGCTGATATTGAAGGCATTACCACCACACCCAGCTTCAAAGCATTTAAGAAATTCCTTTGACCTTTTGACTTTTTATGATTTTGTTTGTATGGATGTTTTGCATGCACGCAGGCCTGTGTACCACATGTGTGCAGCACCTGTAGAAGCCAGAAAAGGGTGCCATATCCCTTGGAACTGAAGTTAAAGATGATGTCAGATTCCATGTGGATGCTGTGAATTAAACCTCTGGTCTTTGGAAGAGCAACTAGTGTTCTTAACTGTTGAGCAGTGTTGTGTCTTCAGTCCCAGTGAAACCTTTTTTGTGTGGCTGTAGTACAGGGATTGAACCTGGGCGCTTCTGTGCTAGGCAAATGTTCTACTTTTACTGATGTTCCCAGTTCTCCCTTTAATTTTTTATTCTTATCCTTGAGTCAAGAGTCTCACTAAGTTGCCAGCCTTGAACTTGTTCTGTGGTCGAGGATGGGCCTAAAAACTCCTGCTTCATCCTCCTAAGTAACTGGGATTGGAAGCTTGAGCCATCTGAATTTCAGAGTAGCAAAATATTAAAACCTTGAATGAAGGTTTCTAAGGCCCCCACCCCCCCCCCCCCCCCCCCCCCCCCCCCCCCGTTTTGGAGACAAAGTTTCCATGAGTTTCTTAGACTGTCATTGAGCTTGTACTGTTCTGTTTCAACAGCTGGGTGGAGAGTACAGGCATGAATCTGATGAATCTGTATACTTCCCCCCTTTGGGGTGTGGAATTGGGATTGAACCTAGATCCTCACACCTCAATCCTGAGAATTTAACCGAATGTTTTTATATTTCCTTAAAACTTTCTCTTTATGATCTGTGCACTAGCTCAGTTGGTGAACTACACAATCAGGAGAATCTGAGTTTGATTTCTAAAACCCATTTGAAAAGGCTGAGCATAGTGGTATGTACTTGTAACCCAGCCTTGGGAAGGTGGAGACAGGCAGAAGGACCTTGTGCTCTGCCTAGCTTAGTTACAGACCAATGATAGACCCTGTCTCAAAAAAATCATGAATGACACCTGAGGAATAAGACACATGCCCGTGTGCCTGCAATAATGCATACCTACCACACAGATACACACATGAAAGACAACACAGAACTTTGCTCTTTCCTCCTTTCTTTTCTCTTCCTTCCTTCCTTCCTTCCTTCCTTCCTTCCTTCCTTCCTTCCTTCCTTCCTTCCTTTCTTTCTTTCTTTCTTTCTTTCTTTCTTTTTTTTTCCTCTTTCTGGCTGTCCTGGAACTAGCTTTGTAGACCAGGTTGGCCTCGAACTCCCAAAGATCCAAAGTGCTGAGAATCCCAAGTGCTGGGATTAAAGGCGTGTACCACCACTGTCTGGCAAGAACTTTGTTTTCTTTGAGATAGAATTAAAAAGAAGCTCTGGATCTCATAAGGAAACTCTTATTTTCTAGTCTAAGGAACAGAATACCCTCTTTGAATTTTGGTTATATTAGTTTTAGTGCTTGTGATGGCAAAGGAAGGACAAACATCTTCTCAGGATGAAAGAGTGGAGAGTTGGAATGAGCATACTAAATGATTACTCTTCTGCCTTTATTTTTAAGATATGTGTAACACACCAACTTACTGTGACCTAGGGAAGGCTGCCAAGGATGTCTTTAACAAAGGGTATGGTAAGTATGCAATGGTAAATTTTTATGTTGGGTCAGGGTTAGTGATGAATTCTGAGGATTTAGTTGCATGTTTTTACAGATCCTTAAAAGTTTTGCTTTGTAGGCTAGGGAATAACTCAGTTGGCAAAGTGTATAAGGCACTCTGTTAGTAAAATAAGGGTAAGTGACCATTAATCCACATCACAAATATTAAGAGCTAGTAATAGCCTCTTTTATTCTTTAGACTCCTTTGCAAACTTTAAGAGCAGTTATTATACATACACCCATGCATAAACATATCTAACATCTGTAATATAAAGTAGCATCTACCTATAATATTTATGCCTTATTTCACTAGTTCTGTGTATGATGAAAGTGTTTATGGCCTCTTTGTATAATGGTTTGTTTGTTAGTTTTTTTCCTTGTGATAGGGTCTCACTCATAGCCCTGGCTGGCTTGGAACTTGCTGTGTAGACCAGGCTGGCCTGGAATGCACAGAGATCCACTTGCCTCTGCTTCTTGACTGCTGGGATTAAAGGTGTGTGCCACCATTCCCAGCCCATATAATGTTTTTTAATACACCATTTTTTTTTTTTGTTTTGTTTTGTTTTTTTGTTTTTTCGAGACAGGGTTTCTCTGTAGCTTTGGAGCCTGTCCTGGAACTCCCTTTATAGACCAGGCTGGACTTGAACTCACAGAGATCCACCTGCCTCTGCCTCCCGAGTGCTGGGATTAAAGGCGTGCGCCACCACCGCCCGGCTATACACCAATTTTTAATGAGAATGCAGATGCCATGTTTTTATTTCTTTCATAAAAATATATGATTCTTTTTACAAGTAGAAAATGTTTTAGGTTTTAAATTTTTAATACTTCTGTGCTATACATACTGATTTTTTTCTTACTAATGTTCATTATATTTTTACCTTGCATAAACACACACACATACACAAACATAGATATACATGTGTACATGCATGTACACACACAACAGCATCGATTTTTGAGTAATTTTAGTTTTGAAAATAGAGCATTCTTAAAAAGGGATGAGTTTATTCATTTTTATACATACTTATTTTATGCTTTTATACATTTTAAAGGTATGAGTTTATTCATTTTTAGGACATTTAGAATTATACTTCTTTTGTTATAATTTAGTTTCTTTTTAAATTCTTATCTGATGAGAATACCTTATATTTTCCATATGGGATGTATAATGTATTACTTTCATATTTTTTAAGTTGAAAAACTGAGCAAAAGTTAAATTTTGTGTATTACTTTGTCTTTTAATGTTCCTAGGGTTTGGCATGGTCAAAATAGATCTGAGAACCAAGTCTTGTAGTGGAGTGGTGAGTATCTAAGATGTTTCTAATAGGTAAAGCCTGCTAATTTAAGGGAACTGATTTTGCAATGTCTGTTTACTGTTATATAAAGCAGCATCCTCTTGACACAGCTGTCCACCCTGCAGCTTGCCCTTCTCTGGTTTCACTGAGCCTGTGAAGCCTGTGGACAATTAGGTTGAATTTGGCAGTTGTTTTTTTTTTTTCTTCAGGCATCCTACCCTTAGGTGAAACAGAGTGTATTTTTGACTTATATTTATACTTTCATGAATATGTATGAATACTGAAACCAACAGGTCATACAAGTTTTATTGCTTTTTTACAAAGTAAATTCATTTTAATCTGTCTTCTCATTATTGACTTGTGCAAAATATAGGCTATAATTTATTTTATATGTGTGTATGTACAAGATTATTTTATGTTTTTAAAAGGGATTTTATGTGGATGGGCATTTTGCCTGCACATATGTCTGTGCACCACATACTTGCCTAGTGCCCAAGGAAGCCAGAAGAGGATGTCAGATCCCTTGGAACTGGAGTTAAAGACAGTTGTGAGTCATTTTGTGGTTCGCTGGGAATCGAACTCTAGTCTGTTGGAAGAGCAGCCTTTCGGCCCTTATTGTTGGCTTTTTTTTTTTTTTTTTTTTTTGTTGCTCTGGAGTCTTTCCTGGCACTAGCTCTGTAGACCAGGCTGGCCTTGAACTCACAGAGTTCAAGTTCCGCCTGCCTCACTGCCCGCCCTGCCTGTTTTATGGTTTTTAACTGATTCTCTTCCAATTTTTTTTTATTACAAGTCAAGATGTTGACATATTTTTCAAAGCATCATTAACCCAGACATCCAGTAAATCTCAGCAAACAGCTGAACTTTTTTTTCTCTCTGGTACTGCATATGGAACCTAGGGCCTCAAGTAAGGAAAGTACTCTACGAATGAATTACATCCCCAGACCCCTACCCCTAGTTTACTTTTTTTTATTTTGATCAGGGTCCTTACTGAGTAGCCAGTGTTGGCCCTGAACACACCTGTATCCCAGACAGGCCTTGAACTTTGAGTCCTCTTCCTCAGCCTTCTAGGTAACAGATGGTAGGCCTGTGCCACTGAGGCTAGTGGGTTAGCTGTTTATCTTTCCTTCCTTCTCTTTTTCCCGGTGCTGGGTACCCAGGGCCTTGAGCTTGCTAGACAGCACTACAACACTGGCTGTCACCCAGGTGAATGTTTAATTCACCGTATTCCCTGATTTATTTTTACAGGCTACATCTTTAGCTGGTGCTTACTTATTCAAACCCATGCATGTTTTATTTATGAATATAGTTGTTTAATTAGAAGGATGAAAGGTCTGTGCCATTCGTGTGGCATTTTGCATTTTACTCTGCACAGCTGGGGTTTGTCCTGTTACTCTTTTCCCTGGGTTCCTTGGCCATGAGTGAATGTATGTATGACCTGCCTTGCCAAGGAGGCTTTGTATGTAGTTCTGTTGAAATAGGAAAACTGTACACGTTTTAGAATTTTCAGAAGTTACGATTGTGCCTTTCTCTCTCTTTCATGCTGCTGCGGTGGCGCTGTGCGTCAGATGGTGAGGAGGAAACCCTTGCATGCTTGTCTTGTGGCTGCTTCTCGCATTTAGGGTCACTGTCATGCTCTGTGTGCATTTCCCGGGCTCTGTTCTACAGGGACCTTTCTCTGTGTTGCTTACTAGCATTGGATGCTTAGCTGAAGATGCCATTTCCGTACTGTAGATGGATTTTATCCTCATTTGACTGCTCTCCAATTAGACCCACATCTGGACTTCAGCTGAGAACAGTTGACACTTTACCTTTGAATTTGTGTTTCTGGTACCCCAGATTCTCAGTAGAGCTTCGGACTAAGAGGTGGAAGGAAGACATGTGGAATAACACCAAAATATTTACATTTGCTCTATTTGTCACTTTTAAAAAGTCAACATAAAAAGTACAAATGAGACAGGTAGATTTATTATTAAGAGCAACAGTTTTCATATTAAGGAATTAACCTGAGCAGTAAACATGGCTCATGCTGTATTGTTTTGCCCTAAGTGGACAACATAGTTTTCATCTTGGAAGCTTTCTATGTAGTATTAATAAACACCATAGCTTCCCAGTGGTTTTTTCTGCATCCATCTCGAGTTAAGGCTAAAGGGAGGACTCAGGTCGCAGACAGTTGCTGTTGACCAGATTTCAGAAGTGCCCTTGAAAGCAGCAGGGCCAGGCAGAAAGTTTCTTTCTTGACAGTCGGGGGTTGTCCGTGACGGCTGTTGACCGTTTGCTTCCCTCTAGAAGGTTTTTCCTAATTGTTTACTAATATGATGGAAAGGACACTTTAGTTGAGAGGAGGATATATTTACAGCATTCATAGTGATTATTTTGTACTTTAGAGGGTAGGCCAGGTGGAGGAGGAGGAAAGAGGCATTTTAAATTCTATTTTACTGTGAAAATGGGTAGATAATTTTGATGTTGTTTGAAAGAGTTTATGGTGAAGATTCTACAGATACAGTTTTATGGCTGAAGCATTCATGTTTCACAACATTGTAAATGTACTTTAATGCTATGTCAGTATATGTTGAAAATGATCAAGTTTATTTTAAATGTAATTTTTCTTTTGCAGTCCTGGAATGGAACCCAGGGCCTTGAGCACACTAGGCAAGCACTTTACCATTAAGCTACTTCACAAGACCATAAAAAAATATTTTTAGAAAACAGTGGTTGGGGCTGGCGAGGTGGCTCAGCAGCTACAGTACTTGCTGTCCTTGCAGAGGACCAGGTTTGGTTCCTAGTAGCCACATGCTGTTCGCAACTGCCAGTAACGCTAGTTCCAGTGAATCCATCCAGTCCCCTTCCTGGTCTTGAGGAGCACCAGGCATACACACAGTACATATACATACATGTAGGCACTCATAGATGCACATAAGTAAAATTAAATCTTAAATAAAGCAGTAGGTTGAGGCTATAATTCAGCAATAGAGATGTGGGCAGGGCCTTGGGTTCCGTTCCCAGCTCCTTTCCCTACCCCCGCCTCCATCCCACTACACTCCCACCCTCTCTCTCCATCCCTGCATCCCCTTGTACCTCTACCTCCTAAACTAAAGTGCTGACTATAAAAAGAAAGTGTGTGAGATAGTGTTTATAAATTCTTAAATACCTCTAAATTTACTGTTTGACAAGTATTACAGAGAATTGATAGTCATCTTAGGCTATGAAAGTGAAATTTTTGAAAGTTAAGTATTTTTTGCCTTTTTAATAAAAGCATTTATTTCCAGCAGAGATATTGTTCTTTTAAAGTTACCAATTTAATATGATCACTAAAAAAGAGTGTATTGAATAATAAATACCAATAAGAAGGGAGGAATAATATAAAGTCTTAAACCTGGTTAGAGACAGAAAGAAAGCAGGACGTACATTGTTGAAGGGTAGGGTTGTGGTGAACAGTAAATTATATTGGTTTCTGATGCACGCAATACTGTTTTCTGAAATGAATGATTTCTATTTGGTGATATCATCTTAAAATAATGATTTTGTCTTGTTTACCAGGAATTTTCTACTTCAGGTCATGCTTATACTGATACAGGGAAAGCATCAGGCAACCTAGAGACCAAGTATAAGGTCTGTGACTACGGACTCACCTTCACCCAAAAGTGGAATACAGACAATACCCTGGGGACAGAAATCTCCTGGGAGAATAAGGTGAGGAAGGCAGTAGACATTATTTGTAGGTTTAATATCTCTTTCACATCAAATAATGAGCAGAGCTGGGGCTGGGGAGATGGCTTAGCCGTCAAGAGTACCTCCTTCTCTCACAGAGGACCCGAGTTCAGTTCCCAGACCTCCAGCTCCAGGGGATCTAAAACCTCTGGCGCATGAGCACCTTCACCATGTGTGTACTCCCCCACAAGCCCACATGAGTACACATAGTTAAGAATAATAACATAAATCGTTAATAAATTGATAAACTCCAAATATAATTTGAGTGGGATTTTCAGTCTTCTACTACACTTTCTCTTTTTATTTATTTTCTTGGCGTGTCTTCACATTTGAAAAGGCCACACTGCACCTTTGTTCTGATTAGCTAATTGTGTCACATAGTCAGTCCTCTCGGGAGCAGTGGGACTCTCTTTGGTAATTTGGTTTACTTTTGTAGTCTTTGCAAAATATATGCACAAAAACGTTTCTAAATTGTTTCAATGTTTCCCAGGAGAAAGGCAATTAGCTGGTTTTGTTAGGTTCCTACTGTGTAGAGGGCACTGTGTTTTTCTTTTGGAGAATGGATTGCACGTAGTCCAGGCCAGCCTCAAACTTTGTAGCTGAAGTTGACCTTGAACTCCTGATTTTCCTGCCTGCCCTCCAGGCCCAGCTGAGTGTTTGAAGCCCGGCCTGGCTTATTGACACACAGAAAGAGATACAGCTAAAGAAGTTGGTTTTGTTAAGTGTCAGCTTATCTTATAGTTATTTCAAGAGAGTATCAAGATTATTTTATTACATTGGAGTAATTTTTTACAATAATTTATATTATTTAATGTTTAGGATTTGTCCTATACATTTTAATCTTTTTAAATTTTTGTTTTTGTTTTTTTGGTTTCCAAGCCTTGGCTGTCTTGGAACTTACTCTTTAGACCAGGCTGGCCTCGAGCTCACGGAGATCCACCTGCCTGTTCCTCCCAAGTGCTGGGAGTAAAGGTGCTGGCACCTTTTAAAAATGTTTGCCATGGGGTCCTCATTCATTCTATCACTCAGGCTAGTTACAGACTGGAGCTTAAGGTTTTCTGCCTCAGTCTCCCGGGGAGCTTGGACTACAGGGACACGCCACCATGACCAGCTTAATTCATATTTGAAGAGAACCAGGAGGAGGGGAGGGAGCTAAGGGGCGGGAAAGCTGGGTGAGTGGCAGTGCACACCTTCAATGCTAGCATTGTGGGTGGCGAGGGGCGGGGGGTCTCTTGAGTTCAAGGCTGACCTGGTCTATAGAGGGAGTTCCGGGACAGCCAGGGCTACACAGAGAAACCCTGTCTTGGAAAAAAGAAAGAAAGAAAGAAAGGATAGGGGAGGTAATCTATAATTTACTATCTGGCTTTCTTTAATGACTTCATTATTAAAGAGCAAGTGGGAGGAAGCTTTAGAATTGGCTTGAGTTAAAGAATAGAAAATTAATTGTTAATTGACAAATTTTTGTTTTACAGTTGGCGGAAGGGTTGAAACTGACTCTTGATACCATATTTGTACCAAACACAGGGTAATTATTCAAACTATTTTTTTTTCTGGTTTCTTTTCGAAGGTCTAGAGCTTTAGCTTTGGAAATGTAAAACGGGAAGTGTAGGGGCCGGGAGAAACTGGGAACTTGTTCTAGCAATGCTAGGATATTAGCATGCCTTTAAAAGAAGAGCTTCCTCAGGGCAGCATAACATTACCAGTAAAACATTTTCAACAGGCACACCTAGCTTAGGAGTTAGAAGGGCTGAGAGTTGTACCTACTCTAATGACTAATGGGTGTGGCAAGAGTGTACTCTGCTGTGTGTCAGGGACCTTAGAAGTCCTGAAAGTCCTCTGGGCTTAGTCTGTTTTCCCTTTGAGTCATTTATCTGCTCAGCCTAGTTTCTGCTCTCTGAAGACAGAGACACTAGAGCAGTGCAAAGAGGAATTTGTTCTTAGACTAGCAATGGAACTGCCCTTCCTGGCTCACGCTTTAATTATTTTTAGAACAAATATTCTCTCAAAAGCCTTGTAGGACTATTTGGAACTAATAGACACAGGTTATTCAGAACTAATTCTGAATAGTCAGCATTGCTATTAAAAGTATGTTTCTGCTGGGTGTGTTGGTACACACTTTTAATCCCAGCATTCGGGAGAAAGGCAGATAGATCTCTGAAAGTTTTAGGCTAACCAGGACTACTTATTGAGACCTTGTCTAAAACAAACAACAAAAATGTATTTCTACTAATAGGTTAATAATGTGTTTTGATGTTACTTTTGTAGCACTTGAAAATATTTAAGGATATTTGTTTCTAGTGTATCTCGGTGTATATTTATATGTATATATATAAACTTATATATATTTGTATATTTAGATTATTAATTTGGCAGTACAATATCTTATTACATATGGACTTTGTATTTTTTGACAAAATTATGAATATCTGTGGGGGAATATGTAGTGTTTGAATATGTGTATACATTGTGTAATCAAATAGGATAAGTGTATCTCATCAAACGTCTATCATTTCTTTGTATTGAAAGCAAATTTAAAACTCTTGCATTGTTTTTGAAATATATAGAACTTCATGTGTAGTTCTCCCTGATGTGCAGCAGGACTTTAAAACAGTTTTCATATCTGTTCATTATCTAGTGATTTGTTCATGTCTTTGTGAGATTATTAATCATAAAATACTTTTATTATTTCAACTCATGGTGAAGAATATATAATGACATACATTTCTTCACACACACACTCCCCCCCCCACCTTTTTTTGAGCAGAGTTTTTTTGTGTAGCCCTGGCTGTCCTGGAACTTACAGAGATCCACCTGCCTCTACTTCCAGGTGCCAATATTAAAGGTGTGTACTCCCATAACTGTTGACATAAAGTTCAATCCTAACAGAGTTGTATTTGTAGAGCTAAGTCGTTTGAAACATTTTTCAATGTATTATGTCATCTACCAAAACAGTATTTCCCTTTGGAGAGGGTCTTACTTCACAAATTACTGGAAATAGTAGACTCACATTATTCTCATTGTATTGTTTCTTTTACAGAAAGAAGAGCGGGAAATTAAAGGCCTCATTTAAACGAGATTGTTTTAGTATCGGCAGTAATGTTGATATAGATTTTTCTGGACCGACCATCTATGGCTGGGCTGTGTTGGCCTTTGAAGGTTGGCTTGCTGGTTATCAGATGAGTTTTGACACGGCCAAATCCAAACTGTCGCAGAATAATTTTGCTCTTGGTTATAAGGCTGCAGACTTCCAACTGCATACTCATGTGTGAGTGTTTATTATCGTTTATAATAACAGCTAGTGCTGTTCCTCTGAGAGGTGGTAGTTGTGACGTGGTAAGGTTATAAGTGAGTAAAAGTGGGTACCAGTCCTGCTGGACGTTTTCATAGCTCGAGGCTCACGAGTGGGGCACACTGTGCTGTGCTGCTGTCCGCTTTTACCCCAGATTCTGGGGCGTTTTAGAATCTGTAAGGGAACACCTCGTGGAGACAGCCAAGAGCACGTATGCACGTCACTGTTTTGACTGTATGGGGAAGCAGATGTTTGGAACACTTAAGAACAATCACCAAATAATTTGAGTGTCCTGGAACTTCTCTGGTAATTCTGTATGGAGATTTTCATGTATCTTTGATCAGAACCTAGTTACTCTCTATTGCATTCAGAAATAATAGGGTTCTCAAAGTAATCCTGGATTTCAGTGTTGGCTGAGTCAGCCTGAACTTTGATTTATAAATATTTAGTTTTTTGGTGTTTTAAGACAGGATCTTGCCCTGTGGTGGTGGCGCACACCTTGAATCCCAGCACTCGGAAGGCAGAAACAGGCGGATCTCTGTGAGTTTGAGGCTAGCCTGGTCTACAGAGATAGTTTCAGGACAGGCTTCAAAGTTACAGAGAAACCCTGTCTTGGAAAACGGGGGTGAGGGGGTGGGGGAGAAGAGACAGAAACTCCTATAGATCAGCCTAGCCTTAAACTCACTATGTAGCCTTGGCTGACCTTGAGCTCCTTCCAGTGCTGGGATCATAGGCAGGAATGAACTGTGTGTTTCATGGGATACTCTAATATAAATAATGGTATTGAAACACTGTTGCTAGGAAACTATGGTATGATGTGGGATTCCCCTCTGTTGTGAATATGTTTTATTACCATTGGTTAATAAAGAATTTGTTTTGGCCAATAGCCAGGTAGAATAGAGCCAGACTGGAAATCCAAACAGAGAGACAGCAAACAAAAAGACCAAGTGGGGGGACACCAGCAGCTGAAATAAGATGCCAGAGTAATTAATACTGGTAAGCCATGGGGTACATGGCAATACACATTAATTTATATGTAGAGCTAGTCAGTGAGAAGCCTGAGCTATTGACCAAACAATTATAATTAATATTTAGCCTCCGAATGATTATTTTGTAAGTAACTGTGGGAATGGGTGGGCGGGAGAGAAACCCTCAGCTACAATGGTATGCTTCAAAGAGCTCTGGGTTTCTGTCTGGAACTGTGTTCCTGGGTATTATGTGGAAAGTATTTTTCACTCTGAGTGTTGAGTAAATAAAAGCTAGTATTGTCTTTAGGCCTATATTTTTACCTCTTTCTTTCCAGTCTTTATGGATCTAATGCCTATAAAGGGGCTATGGTTATAGTTTCTACATTCTGTGAAAGATACCTATGAATTGTATACTTACCTGACATGTCTGCCTTTGAATATAGGTAACTTGTGTCTTAAGACATTTATATTATGCAGAAGAGTCAAGTAAAACGAATCAGGTGCTATAATGCTTTTGTTAGGCTTTTAGATACTTCGTAGGTTGGTTGTATTTCTTGTTTAATAGTCAATTTGTCCTAGGATTTTGCTAGGCTTCAAAGTTGCACGGTTGAATTTATGTTTAGATAGTTGTAGACTTTGTTTCCATGTCTTAACAGTAAATGATTCAAACTTATGACTTTTATTTTACACTGTGAAAACAGGAATGATGGTACTGAATTTGGAGGCTCTATCTATCAGAAAGTTAACGAGAAGATTGAAACGTCAATCAACCTGGCATGGACAGCTGGCAGCAACAACACTCGTTTTGGCATCGCTGCTAAATATAAGCTGGATTGTAGAACTTCTCTGTCTGTAAGAATGTGCTGTGGGGTTGCTCTAGTGCTTTATTGGCCTCGTGACCTCACTCACGTACATCTAAGGCAGGAAATGTCGCTTCCAGTCCTAATTCTCCCCTGCTGGCTGTTGTCAGACCTTTGGCCTCAGTATAGTCTTACTTGAGCTCTGTATAAGGCGCTCCGTGTATTATCCTGTGTAATTCTCATAACTGTTTTGTGTGGTGAAGAGACATTACCTAGAAACTAGGTCAGTGTTGCAGTAAGCAGCAGTGTCAAAATATTAATTCAGATCTGACAGCAGATCTCATGCTGTAATCACTGGGTCAGGTTAGAGATCGGCATCTCAGAGAACTCAGTACAGGCCAGGCACGCCGTTAATCCCAGCACTTGGGAGAGGCTGGCAGACCTTCTATGATCTCAAAGATAGCCTGGTCTACATAGTGAGTTCCAGGATAGTCGGGGCTATGTAGTGAGACTCTCTCAAAACAGGAACAACAAAATTCAGTACATAGAGATGCTTGGTAACACAATGTGCTTGAAAATCTATTTAAGGACTTTAAAGCAACCAGGTGGTGGTGATGCAAGCCTTTAATCCCAGCACTCAGGAGGCAGAGGCAGGTGAATCTCTGTGAGTTTGAGGCCAGCCTGGTCTACAGAGCGAGTTCCAGGATGGGCTCCAAAGCTACAGAGAAGCCCTGTCTCGAAAAACAAAACACAAACAAAAAAAGAACTTTAAAGCATACAATCTCATATTACCCACAATTCCTGCCAGGCTTCTTAAAAGATTTATCTTTTTTTTTCTTTTTTCAGTTTTAATAATTCTAGATTTAGCTCCAGGGTGCTTTTACCTTTAGAAACCTTGTGCATGAATCAGTTTTTGTATTGGAAGGATGTGTTGTTGTTTTCTAACTGCTTCTGTTCTCATCTCTTAATTGTAGGCCAAAGTAAATAATGCCAGTTTAATTGGACTGGGTTATACGCAGACCCTCCGACCAGGTACGTAAAAGGAGTTCATTAATGGAGGGTCACAGTAGAAAGTTACAGGAAGAAAATGAATGCAAAAGGGAAAAAAAAAAGTAGTTCTGGAAGCACTTATGTAATCACCGGGTTGACTCAGGCCCCTGTCATGCAGAGGACGGTGGGGCAAGTGCTTCTGCTCTACATTTCTAACTGTGCCGCTAGCCTTTGAATTCGGCTCTGTTTGTGTGTGTGTGTTTTATCTGTGTGTATGTGTCTCTGTGAAGGTGTTGAATCCTAGAGTTACAGACAGTTGTGAGCTGCCGTGTAAGTGCTGGGAATTGAACAGTAGCTAGTGGTCTTAACCACTGAGCCATCTCTCCAGCCTCTGCCCCCATTATTCTTAATCTTGAACTACAATAGTTTTTTTTTTAAATATTTATTTATTTATTTATTTATTTATTATGTATACAATATTCTGTCTGTGTGTATGCCTGCAGGCCAGAAGAGGGCACCAGACCTCATTACAGATGGTTGTGAGCCACCATGTGGTTGCTGGGAATTGAACTCAGGACCTTTGGAAGAGCAGGCAATGCTCTTAACCGCTGAGCTATCTCTCCAGCCCCCGAACTACAATAGTTTTGTTCCTTGTGCTCTGCTCGGCACAGGTCAGCAGACTGGACAGCCTGTGCTAGTGTATGGTGTAGCTGCAGTAGAGCCTAGGCTGCGTGCGCCATGCTGTTGACTCAGATCCATTATTTCTAGAAAATTTAGGTCTGAAAACCATACTGACTGCAAGTAATGTGGTTTGTTCTTCTCCCTAGGAGTCAAGTTGACCCTGTCAGCTTTAATAGATGGAAAGAACTTCAATGCAGGAGGTCACAAGGTTGGATTGGGATTTGAACTGGAAGCTTAATGTGGTTTTGAGTAGAACATCATTTGTCCCTGGAAGTGAAGAGAAATGAACCCACTATGTTTTGGCCTTAAAATTCTGTGAAATTTCAAAAGTGTGAACTTTTTATTCTTCCAAAGAATTTTAACCCTTCCCACACTGAAGTCTAGAGATTGCAGATCTATCCTCAGAGAGGTCCTTGAAGGCATGCCTGGAGATTGTCACGTCTGTGCCACATTTCAGCTGAGCTCTGCAGTGTTCACTTAAATATGGTTCTCAGCAGCAGCGCAGTGTCACGTTAAAGAGTTTGTACACCACGTCCTGCATGTCCCACTCCACTTTTCATGACCTTTTGTTAGCTCAGTCTCTGCTGTAGTGGAATCTTTGGTTTTGCATCAGAGTGAAATAAACCCATCAGATTTGGAACAGAATTGCTCATCTGATTTATGGGTAGTGGTTGATTTGTTTTTGGAAGTGGAGCTAAGTCTTAAGTGGCATGTCTAAATCATAAGTGCCCTCACCTCTCCCACTTCCAGTTCTCACGCCTCCCCTGAAGGACGAGGCAGTGGAGAAGCACAGCTGTCAAGGAACTAGCTTCCTGCTGGATCCTGTCAAAGTGCCCTGAAGCTGCTGAGGGCATAGTGGCTGAAGAGATGGGCAGAGGGAAGAGGAACGGATGGGGAGGCTGCAGTGGGAAAGGGATACCTCCAGGGCTTCAGGGGGAAAATGGCTTTTTGAGTACTGGGTCTGATAACACAACTGAAGAAGGTGTTAGCAGTTTAGGAGAGATGTGGGTAGATAAACACTCTAGGGCTTGGAATTAGACTAAAAGTAGAAATTCCCATTCCTTACAACCCTTCCTTTTCAGTACTGCTAGCAGTTTGATGTATATTTCTGCAGATGTTAGCATTTTAAGAGATCTCGTAGGTGTCCATTTATAGAAGGTTAATAAAGTACTTATCTCCTTTTAGATTACACTATTTTCATAATGAATTTTTTTTCTTTTTAGAAATTACTTTAAAATTTATTTACTGTCCTAGTCTCTATTGCTATTACAAAACACCTTGACCAAGGCGACTCCTAAAAGAAAACTGATGTCTCAGAGGGTTAGCTCATGATGGCGGAGCAGAGATGTGGTGGCAGGAGCAGCCTGGAGCACAGCTGGCAAGTAGGGGGCAGAGAAAGACAGATTGGGAATCTGCAGTCTCAACACCCACTCCCAGTGACACCTAATCCTTCCCAAGCAGTTCGACAAACTAGGGACCAAGTATTCAAGCACGAGCCTATGGGGGCCATTCTCATTCAAATCACCACGTTTACTTTGTGTGTGTGTGTGTGTGTGTGTGTGTGTGTGTGAATGCATGTGTGCACAAGTGTGCCCCAGTGTGTACGTTGAGGTCAGAGACAATTGTGAGAGTTGGTTTTCTTTTCACCAAGTGGGTCTTGGAATGAAACTCTGGTCATCAGGCACCTTCACTTACTGAATCTTCTCAGTAAGTGGGAGTCTGCTTCTAAATTTAATATGTGATCCCTCTTTCTGTTTGTTTATATTTTTACCAATGTTTGTGTGTTCATTTCCCTACAGCCTCAGTAACACTGCATATTGCAGATTATACTCATTGGTCTAATTTTTTTGTTTATGAATTACTATAAATATGACATACTTACCCGTTTTGTGTTGCATTGGCTTTTGTATTACAACCAGTGCAACATTGAATGGCATTCCTTTTTCTCTGGATATTTCCATAGTAGCAGTGCCATAATGATGAATGTGGTTTATTTGTATACTAGCTACATATGACTTCTTTATTTTATACTTTTTTTATTGACATTTATTGAGCTCTACATTTTTCTCTGCTCCCCTCCCTGCCTCTTCCCTCCTCCCTTCAATCCTTCCCCAAGGTCCCCATGCTTCCATTTTACTCAGGAGATCTTGTCTTTTTCTACTTTGTACTTCCCATGTAGATTAGATCTATGTAAGTCTCTCAGTGTCCTCATTGTTGTCTAAGTTTTCTGGGATTGTGGTTTGCAGGCTGGCTGGCTTTGCTTTATGTTTAAAGACCACCTTTGAGTGAGTACATGTGATAATTGTCTTTCTGGGTCTGGGTTACCTCACTCAGAATGATGTTTTCTAGCTCCATCCATTTTCCTGAAAAATTCAAACTGTCATCATTTTTTTCTGCTGTGTAGTACTCCATTGTGTAAATGTACTACATTTTCCTTATCCATTCTTCAGCTGAGGGGCATTTTAGGTTGTTTCCAGGTCTTGGCTATGACAAAGCAAGCTGCTATGACCATAGTTGAGCACATGTACTTGTGAATATATACCCAAAAATGGTATTACTGGGTCTTGAGGAAGGTTATTTCCTAATTTTCTGAGAAATTGCCACACTAACATCCAAAGGGGTTGTACCAGCTTGCACTCCCACCAGCAATGCAGAAGTGTTCCCTTTTTCCCACAACCTCTCCAGTGTAAGTAGTCATCAGTGTTTTTGATTTTGGCCATTCTTACAGGTGTAAGATGGAATCTCAGATTGTTTTGATTTGCATTTCTCTGATGACTGCTACATATGACTAAATAGCACTCTTAGTATAAGGACAACTAAACAACTGAATTTGAAATTTGATTTTAATTACTTTGTTTAAATGATGACTTGTAGTTAGTGGTTGTTGAGTTGAACAGTGTAGTTCTACAGATCTCTAGAAGTGACTATGAATTACTTGCAGGGCCTGAGCATTTAATAGGTAGCACAGCCAGGCAGTGGTGCACCCCCTTAATCCCAGCACCCAGGAGGCAGAGGCAGGTGGATCTCGATGAGTTCAAGACCAGCCTGGTCTACAGAGCGAGTTCCAGGACAGCCAGGGAACACAGAGAAAGCCTGTCTTGAAATACCATGGATGGTTGGACAGATGGACAGACAGACAGACAGACAGAAAAATAAATAAATATAGCACAAATTTGCCCTTCAAGTATTTGGTATCCGTTTATATTTCTACCATGGTGCTTGTCTGTCCCCTCACACACACATTAACACTGTTGCCCATTTTCAAATGTTGACCACTTTAGCAGATGGAAGGTTGTACCTTTTCAGTTTATACTTTCCTGGTGGCCAATGAGAAGGGCATTTTACATGTGTTTACTGATTGTTGATATTCAAATGTACCCGTTAGGATTCCTTGCTGTTTCTAATTGGGTTTTCTTAAAATAACTAGACATATTTGTTCTTTGAAAAATTCCAGTGTAAGATTGTACTTAACACTAGCAAAATCTGTCCTCAAGCTGCTAGACTACCCACGTTATGGGTAAATAGGTCCACAGAGCCCAGAAATATCTGCAATAGCAATCATGTGACAGCATTTTATTTTCTTGAACGTTGTCTTTGTGGATAACACCATTCCAAGAGATAAAGTAAAGGAGACAAACCACAGTGGACCCAGTGGACCTCTCCCTGTACTGGAAAGCCCACGTGCAGCAATGTGGTGGGAGTAGGCAGCATGCTTGGGCCCGCTCCGTCACGGTGTGGGTGGAGTAAGAAGCCCTATATGACAGAAGCTATCACACCGTGCCTGAGAACTGTTCCGCGAGGCGATTCTTCAGTCTAGTGTGGATAAGGGTGCCGGGGTGGGAATGACGGGAGCAGCAGGCAGCCTTGCAGCATGAGCAGCGAGCTGCACCTGGTTAGTTCTTAGTTCCAGCTGTTCAAGTTGGTTGCATTCATGCCCTCAATTTAAGTAGAGAAGGCAGTCTCTGCATTTTTGCATTTTTCCTTTATGTTGTTTCTCTTAAATTATTGATAGTGCAGAGCCAAGAAGCCATATTCTAGGTATTGATAAGGTAATCCAGATTCGGATTCTTTCTTTGGTGATTCTGTGCCACATGGGTTCATATACTAGCACCTTGGAGTCCTCAAGTCGGAAAGAAGAGCCAGGAGAGGCACCCTGGGTAGAGGTCAGGTTCTCACAGTCTCTCCTTGCCTTCACAGCACAGCAGTGTGACTTTGTGTTTAGTGATTCATTCAGGACATGGCCAGGGTTAGCAGGCTTTCCTTTGTGCCTCGCTCTCAAGATGACTTATGCTAGATTTCAGCACAGCCCGAGTCTGGCGCCTGGGAGCAGAAAGCCCCCTTGTGTATTTATCTGCAGTGACTCTTTGGTTCGGTACTTGCACTTAGGAGTGTACCTCGAGGGGTCATTGGGGATGCACGAAGGTCACATGCAAGCTTTCTCATTGGTGTGATCGTTTTTTAAGTATTTCATGTGTATGGGGGTTTTACCTGTACGTGTCTGCACTACATGCATGCCTGGTGCCCATGGAGGCCAATCCCCTGGAACTGGAGTTACAGATGGATTGTGAGGCTCCATGTTAATCTTAGTTTACCTAAGAACTCCACTTGAATTCTCCAGACCAAAGTGCCTGGCAGAATTCTCTCCGTTGATATTGAGCAGGCACTGATGGCTACCATTTCCCAAACCTACTTGAATCTTCCCTATCCATGTAGTGCTCGGCGTTTGGGTCACATCTCTACCCTTGCAAACTTTGACCTCACCCACCCACCCACCGGTCAGCTTTTCCCCAGAGCTCCTGCCTGGACGAAAATCACCTTGCATTTTCTTCATAAAGCCTCTGGGTCTCTCAAGAGCTTTGTCTTTCTGCCTTCGGTGGCACTTGATAGTCTCGGATGTTAGCTTACAGGTAACTAAAACTGTTATTTGGTTTGGTTTCTCAGGAAGGAGCTTTTCTAAAAGCACACACAGTCCTCTGTGATCATCAAAGACACAAGATAATTTCTGGCATTGCTTGCAACTCTGAACTATGACAGAATCAACATTTTCTTAAGTGATTTCCCTGATGCAGCCCAAGGGTGGTAAAAGATGTTGTAATTGCAAGTACACTTGACCCCGCTAGGTGCCGCTGTGGTACCAGCATAAGGTACACACCGCTTTCCTAGTCCTTTGGGGGCATTCGGCTCATTTTCTCGGATCTCCTCACCCCTTCAGCTACTCCTAGAAGTTCAAAATTTCTGAGCTCAGGGTTTGGTTAAAACATGGCAAGTTGGGAAAGACGAGTTCTCCATCCTATCGTAGGCAAAATTCTTTTTGCTGTTTCAACTAGGTTTCAGTCCCCAGCAAGAGCTCTGGGTCACCTTCGTTCTGTCTGAAACACGTTTCTTAGCCTCATTTACTCTCACGTGCTCCCTTCTAGAGGTTTGCAGGGCCAGCCACCCTTTGCTCGCACTTCATTTCCAAGTTCTTAAACCTGTAGTTTTATTCCCAGGTCACCCTGCAGTGCTTTCCTTTCTATGTCTTCCTATGTCCCTTTGGCTGGCCTGGAGCCTCTGTGTAGACGTGGCTGGTCTGCCACTGCCTCCTGAGCACTGGGGTTAAAGGTGTGTGCCACCACCACAGCCACATTTAAAAAAAAAAAACAAAAAACAAAAAAAAAACAGGGTCTCTGCAGGGCTGTCTGTCCTAGAGTTCTCTGTTGTACTCTAGGCTAGTGGCCACTTTGCCTGGATCCAGCTAAATTTTTATCTTTGTTATGAAGGTCTTAAAAACAAAATAGACTTTACTTTTTAAAGGTTTAATTATTTGTGTGTGTGTGTGTGTGTGTGTGCGCGCGCGCGAAGGTGACAGTTGTTCCTCCCATCTCCTTAGGAAGTCTTTAGGAAAGTCAGCTTTCCTGGGAGGAGGTCGTCCCTTGGCCAGGTGATTGGCAGGTGCAGCTTGTTTAACTCGTAGGTGGAGACAACAGCAGGTGATATTTGGGGGCAGATCAGAGGGGGAACTCAGTTCTATTCTTTTGACCTAGAAGTAGTTTTCCCTTAAGAGGCCCCAACAAAGCACCAGCATGCATATTTCACACGATACTTAAATCCTAAGGAAGGACAGTCGTGATCCCTCTGTAGGGTGTGCTGGCCTGACACTTGCAGAGATCTCCCTGCCTCTGCCTCCTGAGTAGGAATCAAAAGTGCATGTCACCCCATCCTATCTACGGGATGGATTTTACTGTGGCTGCTGTTGCTTGAGAACTCTGTCACTTAAGACCAAGAGGAGGGGAGGACTTACTTGAAAGTTACCTGTTGAAAATTAATACCAATGTGTTTAGATACTTCCAAGTTCAGGCTCTCAGAAAGGGAAAAGGGAAGACAGAAGTGTGAGGGATGAAGTCCTTCTTAGGAGCATGGCTTTCTTGTCCCCCAGGCAGCTTTCCTCTGCATGGGAAGTTTGTCAGGGACTTAGGAGTTCCCTTTTCTGGAAGACTCAGCATTCCTTCCCTCGGGGACCTGGCAACACCCTCTCCAGGAGCAGAGAGCAGTAATAACCCATGTGTGGCCTGACTGTCCATCACACGCAGGAGCCTCTCTTGGACAATGGCTGTAAGGTTGGAGTCAGTTGGAGTGGGTCTTTCTCCTCCCCTGGCATATAAAGTCTCTGTCAGATAACAGACTTGGGGAGAGTTCCTGGGAGAAGCTTCTTTCACCTTGCTGGGGAGCCATGACACCCCACCCGCTTCCTCTCCTGGGATTCAGCCCTGCCGTTTGCCTGCTAGGGTTTCTTGACATCCAGGTGGCCCTTCCAGGGCAGGGACCGCAGGCTGTCCGGCCTGCTCAGTGTGTGCTTACACGTTGCTGTTGTTTTCTCACCGATAAATGTGATAGGACACCGAGTCTCCTGAGACCATCAAAGGCGGGACACAAGGTGCCATCTGACAGGGGGAGAATTTCAGATGTGTTGGTGAAGACTGTCACACCAGGAGGGTGGCGCTCAGCTGGTCCCCACCCAGCTGCCACAGTGCGGGCCTGAGAGGTTTCACCCTGAGCTTCCCAGCTTGAGGGGAGACTGGGTTCCCAGTGGGAGCCTGCAGAAATGAGGAGCCAAGCAGGCGAGCTCTCGTCTACCACTGTTACATCGTGGTGGGGTGGGTGAACATGTTCACAGTGGGGATGCCTGCAGACGGGTGTGGGCTGTTCTTTCCCTTTCGAGTTTTGTGTATTGGTTCCGTACAAACACAGAATAGGAAGATGTAAAGTTCAACAAGTATTTGAAAACCATAAGTGGCCAGACTGTAGTTTTGATTTTTGTGGAAACTCTGAAAGAAAAAAAAAAGACTCAGAAGTAAATTTTTGAGGGGCACTTTTTTATTATAAATTTAATATGGTTGATTAATGAAAAAATTACAATGAAGTACCGTGAAAATGTATGTCAATATAAAAATATTAGCAGCATTTCCATGGTTTCAGGCTCTTAACATTTTAGTCATACTGTCTCTCACTGTCAGAAGACAACAGTGGCTCTACAGGACGACCTCAGATGCTCTACATAAAAAGGCCTCATGGATCCCCAAGCCCAGTGTCCCTCCTAATACTCCCCGCTCAGCCCTGAGATTTACAGCATCCAGGCACATCAAAAGCCTCGCTGGCCTTACTGTTTGCGACAAGAACTCCGCATTTCAGGCTGCAGGGCGGAACAGGGAGGGACACTGGGACTGGACTTGATATGTATGTAGTGTCTAATTGTACACCCCCATTGCTGTGTGTTGTCCACGCTGGTGACAGTGAAAGGCCACTGAACAAGCTCACCAGGGCCTGGTATGGCAGCGGTGTGGCTTCTGCTGGTGGGCGGCTGGTGCTTCCAACCACACACGCTGCCCTGGTTAGGAGCTTGCCTGCTGATGGACCAGGATCCCTTCAGTGGCCAGAGGGAAGGAAACAAACAACATGAAGATATAATACTGGCGATTTATCCCCTGTTTCTTTGGTACTTTCCAAAATTCTCCAATCAGTAAAGTGTAAGGGAAGCAGACCATTAAAATCACAGTTGAAGTATTTACAAAAGCGCTAGTGATACATTACACAGTAACTCATACACAGCTTCTGAACACATTCTTCAGAGGAAGCACTTGTGAACACCTGTCCCAGCATGATGCAATCACACAAGGGCCTGAGAACTTGCCCAAGTTTGTATTAAGTATACTGCATCTCACTTATATTACAGTATTTTTAAAAAAGGGTTTTTATAGCCTACACTTTTAAACGTTTTTAACACTTGCCACCGCTGAGATCATTATATACAGTTAACAGAATATTGCACTTGAGGCAATACTCTTCCACTTTCATTCTGAGTTTGTTTGAAATCAACGCTAGATATCCTAGGTACACGATGTATATTTAATATAAGTAACTGCACCACATTGTGTCGTCACAATACCAGTCTGATACATACTACTATGTACAGGAGTTAGGCTGACTCTGGAGGATGAACGTCTGTGGCCTGGGTAAGCAGTGTGTGTCATGATGACGCCATCTGCAGGGTGTGTGGGAGGGGTGTGCAGGTGTGGGGGGGAGGGGGAGAGGTGTTAGACTATCCCTAGAGCCGTTTACAGACCACGCCTATGACAGGAGGATCCCGTACATGAAGATAGCCATGATAGCAGCACTGAATAATCCGGCCACGGGGACAGTCACGAACCAGGCCACAAAGATGTTCCGGAAGAGGTGCCAGTCCACAGCCTTCCTCGAGCGTATCCAGCCCACGGCCACCACGGAGCCCACCTGTCGAGGCAGAAGCATCACAGTCAAAGGCGAGACACCAGGAGAGGCTTCACAAACACTGACCTCTCGGGTGTCTGTCGTGATGAGCGTCATGTCCCCCGAGCCCTTCACACTAGTTCTCTAGGGAGATCATTTTCTATTTTCCTAATTTATGCTCTGTAAAGTCCCAATGGGCCGCAGTGGAGGAATATAACCCTTCTCCATCACAGTTCACCCCATCTTCCCGAACCTGCAGCGTATGCTTGGGTCCTCCATAGACATTCCTTAAAATTCTTAAAATTCCATTTCTTTATTTACTTATATTACATGTGTGTGGGTGTGCACACACCATGGCACATAGGGACTCATCACCAGGACACCCCTAGACAAATGTCAGCCAATCTGGGGTCCTGAACCTTAGAAATCCCTCACCCCCACCTTTGTTACTATAAAACCCAACTCTAACTGAGCTCGGGCTCTCCGATTATTCCAATACATTGGACACACAGAGACCGAATTTGCAAACTTGTGTAGAATGAAGGCTCTTTGCTTTTACATACGGGACTCGGTCTCCTTGTTGGTTTTTGGAGGACTCTGCGGATCTGGGCATAACATTACAACACCTAGAAAAGTCAGGCAGCTGTGACTATTTATGCCTACGAAACGGTAAAAAGTGGGCAGCTGGGACGGCTCAGTGGGTAAAGGTGCTTGCCACTAAGGCTGGCAAAGTGAGCTCGATCCCTGGGGCCGACGTGATGGAAGGCGAGAACAGAATCCTGGCAGTAGTCCTGTGATCTTCACTGAACGTTGTGCGTGTACGTACACACACGTGCACACTCATGTGCACATATGCACACACGCATGCGTGCACTAAATGAATGAATGAATGCAATAGAAAGAGCTAAGTGCTTTTCCTCCTCAGGAGAGCATATAATTTAGAGTGCTTTCTCTATCCCGAACAGCACAGAGAGCTACATGGGGTGATGAACGGGGAGATGGTCACTTTTCATAGTCTACACATCTTTGTGTTGTCTGAAGTATTTCATTGAACCCATACTTCTTTGATAACTTTTATTTTCTTTTTTTGCCAAACACAAGGCCTCTGTTGTGCTAGGTACATACTCTGTCATTAAGTTGCTTCCCAATACCCTTTTATCAATTTATCTATTCATGTGTGTATGTTTGTTTATTTATTTATTTTGTTTTTGTTTTTTTTTTTTTTTTAGAGATAGGGTTTCTCTGTATAGCTTGGGAGCCTGTCCTGAAACTCATTCTGTAGACCAGGCTAGTCTCGAACTCANATGTGTGTATGTTTGTTTATTTATTTATTTTGTTTTTGTTTTTTTTTTTTTTTTTAGAGATAGGGTTTCTCTGTATAGCTTGGGAGCCTGTCCTGAAACTCACTCTGTAGACCAGGCTGGTCTCCAATTCACACTTACAGAGATTCACCTGCCTCTCCCTCCTGAGTGCTAGGATTAAAGGGGCACATCACCACCTCCTGGCTCTTTTCATCATTTCAAAAACAACCAAAATGGAGCAACCCAGATGCCAAGTGGTGGGTGTGCCAAGCTTTCTTTGCCTTCCTCCCTTGTACTAGGGATGCAGGGTGCCATGCCAGCCCCTGGGTGGGAAAGGCTTCTCAGCCCTATCTGTAAGACTGGGGAGTTGCTAGCGTTCTCCTGAGCAAAGGAGTCAGCATTCACACTGCACTTCCAACACTGCCCACTGGGCATCTGTCTGGTACACTGGAGTCAAACTGGTTGTCATGGTGATGTTTACTAATTGACCACAATTAGGAGGAACAGAGCACTAGGTGAAGATCTGATCCCTGGTCCTACTGTGTCTCCAAGCTGTAGGGCCTTCGCAAAGTGGGTCAATCCTGAGAGCCCGAATTTTCTCAGCTGTCAGCGGTGAGTGACAGGACAAACACCAGAGGCCCAGGCACTACCTCCTGCCCCTCGCTTGGCATCGACTGAGGCAACACAGAAGTAGCCACATCTTAGAACTGCTCTGAAATAATCTTCGTTTACTTCTGTTTCTGTCCCACTGCTAACATCAATTCTGCGCAGCGGCAGGAACTGCATGGTACATCCCAGGTGAACCTGCTGACATGCGTGGTGCACACGTGACCGCAGAAGGCAATCTAGGGGGGAACGGTAAGGGGCCCAGGGCAAACGGAAGCTCTCCCACTGGTGCTGAGAAAGCAAAGCCTCAACAGGTGCCCTACTGGGGATCAGGAAGGGTTAGGAGGGGCGCGGGCATTTTAGGGAAACAACCACCCCTGCTTCCTCCTCCTCCTCCTCGCTGGTCAACAATGTCCTGGCAGTCCCACAGCAACTGTGCAGAGTCTAGCAACCTTTTTCAGATCCGCTTGGAGCCGCTGGACTGACATGCCACCCCTTCGAATGGCAGTCTCTGGCTGGCATGGACCTACCTTGCAGTGTGTGGTGCTGACAGGAAGCCCAATGTTGGAGGCAATCACCACGGTGAAGGCAGAGGCCAGCTCAATAGTGAAGCCACTGTGGGGGCAACAGGAAGACAACGTCACAGGAGCTCTTTGTGTGGCCTTGCCGACACCCCGTGGCTGCAGAAGGCTTGCCAGAACATTCTGTAAGCTGGTTATGGACTGCTGCCTGAGCCAGATGACCATTAGGAGAACAAGACACTGTTGCTCTCAGCGGGGCACTGGGCTATGCAGCTGACATCCAATGACCTTGTTTTCCTAACATGTTTTCCAACCTGAAGTGTGGAACTGGGTCAGAAATTCCTGCTGTGCAGGAGGACGATAAATTGCTTGTTCCTAAAGGGGCACGGGAAAAAAAAAAACTAGGTTCTCATCTTGAAAGTGTGAACTTATTACAAAAAAGCAATCTTCAGATGACCGATTTTTCTTCAATTCGGTCTTCTAAAACAATCTTTCGTTAAAATGAATCTTAAGGATGGGGAACTGAAAATTAGAAACAAAAGCAAACAGAAACCCCTAATATGTTTTAAGAAGAAACACAGAGAAAAAAGTTTCCCGACTGCAGATAGTTCTGAACTTTAGCTGTACTCCGTAAGCTGAGACCTGTTATTTAACCACAGGCTGCACAGCAGAGTGACTAAGTGTGACAGCAGAGGTACACACCCCCAAATCCTGGAGGATGTCAGGAGATCTCTGGGCTTGAAAATTTGGGGGAGAGGCAGGTGCCACGTTTTGGAGTTTATGTGCCCCAAAGGCCTATTATGTCAAAGGCTTGGTCCCTAGGGTGATGCTATTGGGAGGTGATATAAGGGGGTGTCTGGGTCACTGGGGCATATCCCTGAGGGGTGTAGGACTCCGGCCTTTCTGATGTTTGTGTTTGCTTCCTGGCTATGAGGTGGAGTTTTTGGTTTTTTCCTGTGGCACGGGCCCCCACCACGGTGTGCACTGCTCTATGCTCCTGAAGAACGAGGACAAACGGAAACGGACCAAGAGCTGTGCAGGTGTGAGCCACAGTGAACCCTTTCTCCTTAGACACTGCTTACCTCGGGGGTTTTATACTGGTAACAGAAAGGGTACCAGATGGGCCCTAGAGTAGGAGACTGGGCATGGCTGGGGAGTTCTGGAGGAAGGCCTCGGGCTCCAGTCTGCACCGGGGTTTTGCCCGTGTCCTCCGGCCCTCACACTGCGTTAGAACAACAGGCTAGATAAGGAACTGTCGCAGCCTCTGAGTTTCCCTGCTTCTGTCTCGGTGTCTTCCCACCTCCATCCTGTTGCCTGTGTAGATGGCAGCAGGGGCAATGGTGACAAAGGGGCTGACTGGTGGAGGCTGAGGTAGTGAGGACCCCTCTGATCTGTCTCCCTGTGACAATCGCTACGGAACAATAGCACGAGAAATGTGGTAGTCTGAATGTAATTGGCCCCCATAAGCTCGTAGGGAATGGCACAAAGCTGTGGCTTTGTTAGAGTAGGTGCTCCTTGTGGAGGTGGGCTTTGAGGTCTCCTATGCTCAAGCTTCTCCTAGGGTCACAGTCCACTTCCTGTTGTCTTCTGATCAAGATGTAGCCAGTACCATGTCTGCCTGCATGCCGCCATGCTCCCCACCTTGATGATAATGGATTAAACTCCTGAAACTGTCAGCCGCCACCCCAATTAAATGTTTTCCTTTATAAGAGTTGCTGTGGCCATGGTGTCTCTTCACAGCAATAGAAATGCTAACTAAGGCAAGAAAGCCCTGACATGTTGACTCAGCTTCTGCAGCGAGCCCCACCTGGAAGCCCTGTCTCTGCAGACCTCCGTGCCTCACCTGGAAGGTGTGATGGGAGTGAGGTCCTTTCCCATGGTCTGGATCACTCTTCTCCCCCAAACCCAGAGACCTGTGCAAATCCCGACTCCTCCATAAAACAGCAGCCAGACTGGCGTAGCAGCTTCTTGCATAACTCCACCTTGTTCATAGATCAGCCACAAAGCCACGAGGGGACCAATTGCATTGCTGGTTAAAAAAAAAGGCGGGGGGTTAATTGTACATAGGCACGACACTATACACACACTATATAGTGACTTCTTGGTTTTGAAAATTAGCTAAGTCTTATTGTATTTGTAGCTTACTCATAGAATCTAAGGTGATAAAATGACTTACTGATATAAAAAGCATACTAGAAAATTTGCCATCTTAACCATTTTAGGTAGAGTTAAGCAGTATAAGTATAATTATATGTGAATTATATGAAAAGGCACTTAAAGGCAACAGCCAGTTATTATTTTATTATTATTATTGAGATAGGGTTTCTTTGTGTAACCTCAGCTGTCCTGAACCAGGCTGGCCTTGAACTCACAGAGATCCACCTGCCTCTGCCTCCCCGGTGCTGGGATTAGAGGCGTGTGCCACCATGGCCCGGCCTGAAGTCAAACTTTTAAATAATGAACAGAGACAAGACTTGAGAGGCACAGATGCCCAGCTCCCGCTAAATAACCATGCAGAGCTGGCCCGTGCAAAGCTCTCACGGCCTGGCTTGACACGACTTCCTGCTGTCTCCATCTCTCTCCGTGAAGCTGCAGGGCTCAGGTGTCCTCGCTGCTTCTTTCCTCTCCTTCCCTCCCTCCCAGGATTTCTAGCCAGCACCTCTGCCTTCCGGGCATGGGTGCTCATCCATACCCAGCCTGATCATTCCTGAACGCAGCCATACCCAGCTGGCTGCTAACTTGATCGTCACGTGGCTGTCATTTGGGTGTTACAGGTATTTTCAGGTTTATGTCTAATCTGAATGCTAACTAGCCCCAAACCAGCCCTTTCTGGGTTGGACTTCACTCTCAGGTTTGTGAGAGCTGAAATTGCTGGGCGAGGCCTCCTTCTCTCACACCTGTGTCTAATTTAGCAGTTCTCAACTGGTAGGTCTTTCACAGGAATTGCCTAAGACCATCCGCATATCAGGTACAGTAGCAAAATTAGAGTAACAATGTAGCAATAAAAATAACTTTATGGTTGGGGGTCACCACAACACAAGGAACTGGATTAAAGGGTCGCAGCACTAGGAAGGAACCACGGGTCGCAATTGCCTATCAATTCCATTGGTCCCACATTCAGAATACTATATCCTGACTCTGGCTACTGTACCATCTCTCTGCTCCAAGCCTTGCTCTTTCTTCTTGGATCACTGAGCGACATCCCAACTGATCTCCTATCCCCTCAGCACAGCCATGGAATAAGCCAGAAGGGTCCAGTTAAACGCCTGTCAGCCCTTCTGGTGGCTCTCTCGTTTCTTACAGTGAAACTTCCTTCTTCCAAAGCTTGTTTCCTTAAACATGTATAGACTTTATTTACTCTGTTTACTCTTTTTGATAAGTATGTCTGTGCACCCTGTGCATGCTTGGTGCCCATGGAGGCCAGAAGAGGGCGCTGGATCCCCTGCAACTGGAATTACGGATGGTCGTGAGCCATCACGTGGGTGGTGGGAATTGAACTCTGGCCCTCTGCAAGAGCGACAATTGCTCGTAACTGCTGAGCCATCTTCCCAGCCCCTGAACAATTTATTTTTAAGACAGGGTCTGGCTGCGTTGTCTAGTCTAGTTCCTGAATTCCTGGGATCAAGCAAACACTGACTCAGCCTGCCCAGCAGTCAGGACCCCAGCTGCCGTTCCGTTGCCTAGCAGAACACAATTCCTTTACGTTTCTACAGGACCGTGACTCGATTCTCTACTTACCCCTGTCCAAGGTCTCCTGCTCTTTGAAGAGCAGTCCCGGCATGCTCCACTTCACCCTCTGCATCTGCCGCTCACGCTTTCTGCAATGGTCACGTGGCCCGTTCTCGCACCTCGTTTAGCCCCTGCTCTGTGAGCCTCCCCATGCAGCTAGCTGCCTGACCACTGCGACCCCCTTTCTACTCTGTGACTTATATGCTTGCTTACTGTCTGTGCTCCCCTTTGCCGGTGGCAGGGACTTCTGCCTCCCAGCACGTAGCTGACCCTTACTGCGTATTTGCTGAATGAATAAAGATACTCACCTCACATCGTTGCCACCATGAGCAAAGGACCCAAAGCAGGCAGTGAGGACTTGCAGGAAGTGGAAGAGCAGGTGGACCTCTGCCGTGTCCTTCTCCTCCTTCTCTTCCTCCGTGGGGTCCTCGTGAGGCTGGTCGGGATCCGCCAGCTCAGAGGCCAGCCTCATTTCTACGCCCCCCTCCTCAGCCTCGATCTCGGCCTCGGCGACCGCATTGCAGTAGCTGGAGTAGCTGTCGTAGCGAAGCCGCTTCTTGGAATAGGACACCGTGTCGCCCACCAGCTTCTCGCTGTCCTCGGGGGCGGAGGAGGCATCTGGGGCTCTGAAGGTGGTATGCACCGGCATGCCACAGATGGCCGCGGTGTAGCAGGTGTAGCTGTTGTTCCGCCGAAGCAGCCTGTAGTTGTTTTCCTGAGCGGGCTTCTCCTCGGGGCCTCTGTCTACGTGGATTTTGTGCAGCAAGTCTTTGTAGAGCCCCGAGTCTTTGTGTACAGTGTGATAAACATGACCGTCATTCCTCATGTGGCCTTCAAAGCCGAACGTGCCGTTGGAGATGGGTGACTTTGCAGAGCCGTGAGTCATGGAAAGTGCCCGTCCTGGAAATAATGTAGGAGATGCTTATTTAAGGTGGACGGTAGGGCACTCAGTGGAAAACCACATGCTTAGCATGCACAAGGCTCTGGGTTGGATTCCTGTCCATCAAAACATAAATTCTGGGTACACTTTTGTACCCAAGCTCGGCCTGGCAGATTATCTCCTTCCCGTGTTGTACCCAAGAGCCCCAAGTTAGCCTTACCATAGGCTGTCCGGGGGTGGTTTCCTGTTGATGTGCCCTCAGAAGGTCCCACAGCCTCCCCAGCCGGGCTGGTGAGGGGGACAGCACTGTCATCGCTGGCTTTGGCACCAGGGAGTTCCTTAAAGGGGGACTCCACCTCCTGGGCTTTACTGAGACTTTCATTGGAAGTTCGCGATAAAGCGCTCGTCTTTTCTAATTTGCCTAGAGAAGATAAGGAAGGAAGTACAGATTCTGGAAATGCATTCTTTTTCTTTTAAAAATAAATATTAAAATACAGTAAAAATAAAATGATTAAATACTAAAATGTGAAGATATCTTTTTACACTTCAGTACTGACCTTGGAAACAAAACATTAGAGCTAGATGAGGAAATAATAAAAAGTCAATGATTTTTTTAATTTTAAAATTATTTATTTGTTGTGTTTTTTTTTTTTTTTCGAGACAGGGTTCTCTGTGTAGCCCTGGCTGTACTGAAACTCACTCTGTAGATTAGTCTGGCCTCAAACCAGAGATTTGCCTGTCTCTGCCTCCTGAGGGTTGGGATTAAAGGTGTGTACCACCACTGCCAATTCAATCCATGCTCTTGAAGACAGCTATTAAATGATACATACTTATGCTGAGTTACTAATATATCTAATATATCCAAAACCTTAAATCTGATCGCCTAGGCCTCTTCCAGGGCTGACAATTCTATAATTCCATAACCCTTCTAGACGGACTAGCCTTAGAGTTATAGAAACGTTTATCGTTCTTGTCTTGAACAAGTGGAATACATTTGGGTTTTTTTCCTGGTCAATAAATTATTGGTCTCAGATTTCTTTGATCATATCAGATTCTATGACGCAAGTAAACCTTTTTTTTTTTTTCTCAAAAGGAACAAGGAGATTCCATTTACTCAATAAGAAACAGGTCAGACCCTCTAGAACTGTTTACAGTTGTGAGCTGCCGTGTGCGTCCTGGGCACCAAACCCATCTTCTGCAACCGCAGCAAGTCCTCTTAACCTCTGAGCTGTCTCTCTGGCCCCTTGATTATTTTTAGAGTGTGTGCATACACATGCATGTAAGTGCAGTGTCTGCAGAGGTCAGAGGCATCGGATTCCCCTGGAACTGGAGTTAGAGACACTTGTGAGCTCCTCGGTGTGGACGCTGGGACTCATTACGATTGAACTGGGGTCCTCTGGACGAGCAGTGCATACACTTAACTGCTGAGGAGCCATCTCTCCAGCCCCATGAAAATTCTTAGTCTTAAAACTCACACGCAGTAAGCTGCCTTTGCGGGTATGTGTGATTCTGAGTTTCCCAAGAGGCACCACTACAACGGGGATGTAAGAAGTCCCCAGGTCCTTATTTACTCTACCTGAGACGACCACCTGTCTTATCTGCCACCCTCCAGTTCTGCATTTTTCAGAAAGCCTCCAAGACGAAATCACAAGATGAGTAAGTACTGAGAAGGCTTCTCCTACTCAGCACGCTGCCTTTGCCACTCAGTCACGCTGCCACGGGAGTGGCATCCAGTTCCTCGTTACTGCTGAGCACTGGAGTGTGGAGCTACACTTTCTTTATCCCGTGATAACCTGTCGGGGGAGGGCTTCCATTCTGGGTGACATCGACAGAGCTGCTGTAAACACCCATGGGCAGAGTTTTGTGTGAATTTCAGTTTTGATTTCTCTGGGGAAATACCCAGGACTGATTCAAAGAATGCCGAAGGCCTGTGCACATGTAACCTAAGAACTGTCCAGCTGTCTCTTGTGCCACTTTGAATTACCAATGCCAGTGCCTGAAGGTTATAGCTGTCTTGTTGTTGTTGCTGGTGGTGGTGGTTTTTTTAATCCTTCCCAGTTAGCACGGCCATGTGTTACAAAGTCATTCGAATAGTGTGAAGTGGTATCTCATGCTCGTTTGATGTTGTATTCCCTGTTAGTGAGAGTGAACAAGGCATGGGTTCATTTGCCACTTACATCTCTATCAGGTGTTCCAACAGTTTGCTCCACCTGGAGAGGGAGCTCGGAGGTTAAGAGTCAGCACTGTTCTTCCAGTGGACCAAAGTTTGGTTCCCAACACCTCCTTTGGGGGGCTCACAAACAGCCTCTAACTTGAGCTTCAGGGGTATCCGACACCTTGGTCTTTGTGGGCACCTGCACCCATATGTGCAAACTCCCACACCAGGACGGACATGATTAAAAAGAATCAAAATAAAAATATATTGCTCATGTTTTAGTTGATTTTAAAAAATTTCTTAATATATTTATTTCCATGACACAAAGTTTCCCTAAATGGTGTTTTCAGAGAGCCAGAGTTTTCAATCTGCATCTTGTACACTTTGTAAATTTCTTCTGTGGACTGTGCTTGGTGTCACGAACAAAGTTCTTTGCTTAACCAAGATCACAAAATTCTTACTTCCCAAAAACTCTTTATTACTTTTACATTTAGATTTGTGGTACATCTCGAGTTAACTTAAAAGTAAGGCATAACATTTATCGTAAGGCTTGGCTTCTGCTCTGGTATGTGGACATTCAATTATTTCGGCGACTTCTGTTAAAAGGGACAATATTTTTGCCAGGTGATAGTGCTCACACCTTTAATCCCAGCACTTGGGAAGCAGAGGCAGGTGAATCTCTGTGTGAGTTCCAGGCCAGCCTGGTCTGCTGAGAGAGTTCTAGGACAGCTAGGGCAACACAGAGAAACCCTGTCTTGAAAGAAAAACAAACAAACAAAAAGGACTATGTTTTCTCCACTGAACCGCCAGTCTTGAAGTATATTAGCCACATCTGTATGGTCTCCTGGAATCTGTCTGCTCTGTTAACCAACACATCTGTTCTTCACGGCACACGCTGCCTTGTAGTATTACAGTAAGCCTTAAAGGCAGGAAGACTCGCTCTTCCGATTTCAAAACCGTTGTGTCTATTTCAGTTTCTTTAGCTTTCTGTATAGATTTATGAAGAGCTTAAGTCTAGATCGATAAGACATTATGCTGGTATTTTAATTAAATTCGTGCTATATATACAAATCAACTTGCAAAGAACCAATATTTTGGCCACATTGCATCTTTCAGTTCAAAAGTCTTTGTCTTTACCTTAAAAAGTCTTTGTCTTTACCTTAGTGCTCTATTAAACACAGATTTTCAAACTGGGATGCACCCACACTGAAATACAATTACAAGGCCCGTTCTGCAGTCAGTCCACCACGAATCTCTAAGAGTCCAAGCCGTTTCACTTGGACTTGTCACTTTCAGCCACTCTTGTCACATGCGCCGTCCTTTGTGGTAACTGTCCGCACTTCCCCAGAGAGAAATGTTTCCTCCCGAGCTGGCAGAACCTGTGTGTTCACTTACAGTTATGCTCGGAAACAAATAACGATGCTCACGTGGCCCACAAATTATCACGGAACTATATGAGGCAGAAACAGAAGTGGAGGGCCAGAGGCCTGAGTCTGCACCCCTGGGCCATTCTAGGAACTACTCTCATCTCTAATTCCTTTATTCCATTTTTGTTGTTGTTGTTTTTTAAATATTTATTTATTTATTATGTATACAATATTCTGTCTGTGTGTATGCCTGCAGGCCAGAAGAGGGCACCAGACCTCATTATAGATGGTTATGAGCCACCATGTGGTTGCTGGGAATTGAACTCAGGACCTTTGGAAGAGCAGACAATGCTCTTAACCTCTGAGCCATCTCTTCAGCCCTGTTGTTGTTGTTTTGATTTTTGTTTTCTCTAGACAGGGTTTCTCTGTAGCTCTGGACGTCCTGGAACTAGCTTTTGAAGACCAGGCTGTCCTTGAATTCACAGAAACTCGCTCTGCTCCCAAGTGCTGGGATTAAAGGTGTGCGCCAACACCAACCAGCTATAATTCCTTTATTCTTAAGGACACGGTTTCTTTACAGAGATAGCCTCAGGAATGAAGAGCAGTTTTGTCGTCTGGAAGAATGGAAGCTGCTTACCTGCTATCTTCCTCTTCATCCAGGGACACACGAAGAGCCACACGAAGAAGGCAAAGAGCAGAGCGACGCCAAAGGAAATGAGAGCTATGGCCCACATGGGAAGCGTCAGCCCCAGCACTGGGAAACAAAGGAACAGCAGTGTTGGTACTGGGAAAGCCTCCACCAGCAATGCATCCTCTGCTCCTCCAGGCTCAAACAAGTCACCCGGATTCTGTCCTGAACAAATATCTCAGGGAAATGAAACCAAACCAAGCACACTGCACACCCGGGGGCAGACAGCAGGACTGTGTTTCAGACATATAACGGTCTTGAGAATCTGTGCTTGTTAGGAATTAATTATTAAAATGCTACCACTTGGGCACGGTCAGGGTAGGAAGTTTTTTTTGTATAGCACTATTCTCTGTATATGTTGTGTCATTATCTTAGCTGATCAGGCAAATATGGCCACTTGCTGTTTTATGTCCTAACAGATGGCCCTGCTCAGTAGTGGCAAATGGCGGCTCTGTGGATGATGTGGGCTTGTGCTGCCTCTCTGGGTCTTTGCTCAAGGGCCAGCAGCTCTGCTTTAAACGGGTGCTGTTATACCCTGGTCACAGGCATGCACCTCTTAGAGACAAAGAGAATTCTGGGTGTGGTAGTACATGCCTGTAATCCCAGAACCAGGGCAGTGAAGGCTGCAGAATTGTTGTGTTAAAGTCTCATAAAACAAAACACCCCCAAACGAAACAAAAAAAAAACTTTAAACTGAAAAAGGAAAGACCTTACAGAAGTAAGAGTTTCTTTAGAGGCCACCGCCCTTCAAATATAACTCTTCCTCAAAATGTCAATTTAAGAAACAGCAAACCCAACGAAAGTCAGCATTGCAGTGAGCAGCAGTTAGGGCCGGAGTGCCTGTGCTTTAGTGATATCATTTGTGCTCAGCATGCTTGGCTCCCTAGCTCAGCCTGGAACTGCATCTGTTTTCTGCCCTGGGGGTAATAACAGGTGCCTTTCAGAAATATCTACAGGTCCGGAACTTAACATCCATGCTCATACGTGAACACCTATACATGACTCTCTTACCTCAGCTCTAATTTTTCTTCAATCATAAGAGCAAGCACGTGTGCACGTGCGTCTATCCACATGTGGGAATATGTGTGTATGGCAGTGTGAGCATGCACTGTGAGCGCCTGTACACTTATGTGAGTCTGGGTGCCTGTAGATGTTGGATCCTTCTAGAGCTGGAGTCACAGGGTTGTCCTGGCTAATTCCATGTCAACTTGACACAAGCTAGAATCACCTGAAAGGATGCCCCTATAGGATCCAGCTGTAGGAATTTTCTTAATTAATAACTGATGGGGGAGAACTCCGTGTGGGTGGTACCATCCGTGGGATGGTGGTTCTGGATTCTATAAGAAAGTAGGATGAAGCCAGGCAGCGGTGGTGCACGCCTTTAATCCCAGCACTTGGGAGGCAGAGGCAGAGGCAGGCAGAGCTCTGTGAGTTTGAGGCCAGCCTGGTCTACAAGAGCTAGTTCCAGGACAGCTACAGCTATTACAGAGAGAAAGCCTGTCTCGGAAAAAAGAAAGGAAGGAAGGAAGGAAGGAAGGAAGGAAGGAAGGAAGGAAGGAAGGAAGGCAGGCAGGCAGGCAGGCAGGCAGGCAGGCAGGCAGGCAGGCAGGCAGGCAGGCAGGCAGGCAGGCAGGAAGGAAGAAAAAAAGACTGAGCAAGCTATGATGAGTAAGCCAGTAAGCAGCACCCCTCTATGGCCTCAGTACCCTTCCTGGCTACAGGTTCCTGCCCTGCTTGAGTTCCTGTCTTGACTTCCTCCAGTGATGGACAATACAGTAGAAGTGTGAGCCAAATCAACCCTTTCTTCCCCAACTTGCTCTCTGGTCACAGTGTTTCACTGAAGCAAAAGAAACCTAATTACGGCTGGAGCTAGAAAACATTATTTGAGTGAGGTAACCCAGACACAGAAAGACAATTATCACATGTACTCACTCATAGGTGGTTTTTAAACATAAAGCAAAGAAAGCCAGCCTACAAACCACAATCCCAGGGAACTTAGACAACAATGTGGACACTAAGAGAGAGTTACATAGATCTAATCTACATGGGAAGTAGAAAGTAGAAAAAGACAAGATCTCCTGGGTAAATTGGAAGCATGGGGACCTTGAGGGAGGGTTGAAGGGGGAGGGGAGAAGCAAGGAGGGGAGCAGAGAAAAAATGTAGAGCTCAATAAAAATCAATTAAAAAAAAAAAAAGAAACCGAATTAAGACAGGGAGGTTGTGAGACACCTGATGTGGGTGCTGGGAACTGAACTCAGGTCCTTTGGAAGAGCAGCATGGCTCTTAACCTCTGAGCCATCTCTCCGCCCCCTTCCCCAACAGTATTCCTAATGGTAGGAATTTCTAGCCCAGCCACTGCATGCATTGTCACGGAGATGTAAACTAGCTACACACAGTCACACACAGGAGGCAGCCATCGGCGGTTAGAACAAGTTCTGCAGAGATGAGACCCAGTGTTTTCCACCCAGCTGGCCGCACCGTTTGCTTACTTATGCTCAGAGAGAAACAGCAGCGATTGGTTCACCTGGTCACAAGCTTCCAAGAGAATGTGTGAACCAGAAACAGTGGTGGGAAGCCAGAGGCCTGGGCACGTTTCAGTTCACATATATATTATATAATGTAATAATATATATATACAACTTACTGGCTTTAAATATATATTTAATATAATAATATACAGTAACTTAAAAATATATAATTAAGAATGCCATTTGTGCAAATTGGAAGCATTTTAAATTTGAAAGCTAAGCTTTACTGATGTTGCCCTAATTGCTGTGTACAAGTGAATCAGCTCAGAGTTACTCCACGCATTATTATGCATTTTTACACTGGTAAGAGGTTCCAGAGCGAGGAACATACACAGGAGGTCAGCAGGAATGTTCACAAATAGCAAAAACAAAGCACAGACCTCCCTGGCTTGCTTATGGTTAGCAGGTGGCTTCTGGGGTTTAGACATTTAGATGAATCCACTCCCAAAGTCCAGGGACAGCAGGGAGCCATGGACTCAAAACCTCCGCAGGCTAAGTGTGCTAGCTGGCAGCCCAGCCCAGCCCAGGTCCTCTCCAGTTCTGCCCACGGACTTGATCCCAGAGCAGCTCAATAAACCATGAGGGTAACAATCTCGGGCTACATGTCATGAGACCCTGTCTCAAGAACAATAAAAACAAAACGAGGAACATGCTTGAACCACTGCACACACACGGCAAAATATTTCTTTTAAATGTAATACTTGGGGCTGCTTCGTATATAACAAACATTTGGAGAAAGTGCTTCTCATTGGATTGTCTTCCTGGCAAGGCTCTCAAATTGTTTCAAATAATTACAACTTCAGGGGGTAACCAGGCACCACGGTTGTTTCCCACTGTGGAGGGACAAAGTAGGGCACAGCTTGAATGGCTTGTGCTCACTCAGCCAGAAGCGGCTGCCAGGAGCCGGCAATGTGAGCCTGGAGCTTGCTTTCAGCTCACACTACTAAATGGCTTCTCATCTTCTGCGCCTCTAAACAACGAAGATACGATCAACGGCAATTTGGTGCTACCTCGAACATTCTGGTTCTATTCCAAACCCCCCCAAAGAAGAAGAAATGGCAGAGCTGTTAATAATCTCACTGCCATCATTTTGTCTTGCATCTCATCTTTGACATACGGCAATCACTGACAGGATCTACAAAATAAACACATTAGAACTAGCAAGCTTTGGCCCTGACCAGCCTACGTCTCCCCTGCTTACTCCTCCTGACGGCTCTCCTTGGCACTGACTCAACGCAGGCATTTGGTTCTAATTTTGCACATGATACAAGCCTTTAAAAATAATATTATCATGACTACAGCGAACTGTAAGATGTACAAATATAAAATGTTCTTATCACCCTTCTCAGGGGAAGGAGGAGGTTATGCGTTGTGTGTCTTTCCAGGCATTTTCTAGGTATGCGTAAAGTGTTGCTAAGAGCTGGAAGAGGGGGGTAAGGGAGAGAAGGCAGGGAAGGACAACTAACACTAAGGGCCATTGGAGGGGGTCATATGGAAGCCAACTACAGTAGAAGCTTCTTAAAATGCATACACGTGTGAAAGAACTCTAAATGGAGTTATCAAATAATGGGGGAGACAATGGCCCAGCTAGATATCTCTCTCCACCAAATAAAACCTCTATTATTATCCAGGAATGGGTTATATCTAATTGAGTTGTTGGCCAAAGGGGGCCTCATAGAAACACCTCCAAACTCAGGCTATTGGTTGCAAAAACTAATGGTAAGACCCCGATGCTGAAGAGGACACCTACATATTTCACTGAACATGAACGTGCAAACTGATATCTAACAAGAATCTCTACCCCCTACTGACTAGTGTCCATGGTATTGGCAAGCACACTACCAGAGGAGAAATGCACACCCAGCTATAAAGCCTGTGCTCTCCAATGGTGACCTACCTGTATGATACACTGGTGCCACAGTGGCACATAAGCTGCGGGAGTAACCAACCACTCTCTGATTGGATTAAGGCCTCATGCACAGAACCCACGCCTGACACTGCTCAGGTGCCTGAGAACCTGAGACTAGATAAGACACGGGTCTACAAGAAAACCAAATGCCATATTTTGCTAAAGGCAATAGAATCACTCCAAATGACATTCTGCTCCATCCATAGATCAGTGCCTCCTCTAGCGTCATTAGAGAATTTCCTCCTGCAGTAGACGAGAACTAACACAGAGACCCACAACTGAATAGTGTGCAGAGGGAGAGACCTAGGGACCATCCGTCCTGATGGGATGTCTCCATCACACTCTGTACCTCGGAGCTCAGGGAACTCTGTGGAAGAGGAGGTGGAAAGAGTGTGAGAGCCATGGAGGATGGAAGATACCAAGGAAACAGTGTCTTCCACACACAACAGCACAGCCACACCCATGAACTCAATGGTATTTTTGTAATTTTGGGGGTCTCATTGCTTTGTTTGGGCATTTTTTGCCTTACTGGTCTTTTGCTTGTATATTATGATTTCCTACTTTGTGTGAATGTGTGTTTTTGTTTGTTTGTATGTGTGTATCTGTATTTCTTGTGTTTTTTTTGTTGTTTGTTTGTTTGATGGAGGGGGAAGTGGGGAATAATTTGGGAGGAGATGAGGGAAGGGAAACAATGATCAGACTATATGGTCTGAAAAAAATTCAACGTAGGAAAAAAATTAGTTCGTTCCCATTGGAAGTGGAGATCACATCTTTAATTCTAGCACTCAGGAAGCAGAGGTGGATGGTTCTCTGCAAGCTAGAGGCCAACCTGATCTACACAACGAGTTCCGGGCCAGCCAAGGCTACACACTTAAGAACCTGCCTCAACAAAAGATGTTCACTTAACAGAACCATAATTACACTACATACTCTCTTCTGTGCTTTCAACTGTCGTTTAACAATGGATGTGGACACCGTCCCATAGTAATACACACGTGAACACAGACACACACACAGGTTTCCCTGCTCCTTGTTATCCTTCCTCAAATGGTAAACAATGCTATTGTTAGGTTTTGCTTTATTTTAGACCAACATTTTAAAGCGTCAGAAGAACCATGCATGGACAAGGAATGCTGGGAAATTCAGGAAAATGAGCCATGCTTTTGAAATAAATATGGTGCTTCTTAATTTTGCTCTACAGTTTGAATCTTAAAAATATAGCAGCAGCTTTCTCAGACTAGGCTGCATCTGTAAATTTTTTTTTTTTTTTTTTTTTTTGGTGCTGGGGTGGGGGAAAGGCACGTGTAAAGAACTTAGTTTTGAATCCAGCCCTTGACGGGACTGGAGACAGCGTCACCTCAGTGCTAGCCGTCACGGCGGCTTCTGCTTCTCCACAGCACACGTGGAGCCCAGAGGCCTCCTTATAAAGATTGTGGGGGCCTGACAGCTTCCTGGGAGCTGACTTCCTTGGGCTTGGATAAGAAGCAGCTAGAACTGGGAGAGTTGGAGGTGAAGGGGAACGAAACAAAGATGGAGGAGGAGGAAGTGGGGGGGGGGCGAGAAGAGGGATGCTGAGGAGGAGGAAGAGGAAGGGGGGGACGGGAGGAAGCTGCTGGGGCATTCATGCCTCAAGAAGAGCTTTGCTCTAGACAATTCAGAAGCCAGGCTAGGTTGTGTCTGGGCATTCACTTGCTGCAGAAGAGTGAGCAGGGCCAGGGGTGGGGACGTGAAAGTCCTTGCTGTGCGACCTGAGTCCCATATAGGAACTCACATAAAAATAAATAAATAATAAATAAAAAATCAGGCTGCAAGGCCAAGCATCTGGAATCCCACCATGCTACAGCAGAGAGGTGGGGGCGGGGTGCAGCCAGGACAGCTGCCAGCAACTCCCAGGCCAGCTAAGCCTGGGGTAGCTGTGCAACAGCAGAAACAAGAGAGGCCTTGGAGGGTGACCCCTGAAAGCTGTCCTCTGACCTCCACGTGTGCTGTGCGCGCGCGCGCACACACACACACACACACACACACACACACACTTTTCACAGATGGAGTGGGGATTGCCAGCGAGAACTTTCTAAGAGCTCGCACTCATCACGTGAGAACCATAAAGAAGTAAATGTTTATGGCAGAAGCAGTTGTTTGTCAGGTGTGGTTCACTTCTGTGCTCCCAGCTACTCAGGAGGATCGTTTAATCTCAGAAATTCTGGAACAGCTGGGCACCACAGACAGATCCTGCCTCAATAGAGAAAAACAGAAAAGTCCCTGGTGTTACAGACCCTCAACTGTCACGTGAGGCCCCTGTGGAAACACAGACTGCAGAGCACCAGGCCCAGAGACAAAGCAGACAACCTGCATTTCTGTCACCTCACGGGATGCTGATGCGGTTAGCCTGTGGCCTCACTGTGCCTGAGCTGTATGTCATGTCACTGTACGTCACTGCGTGTCACTGTGTGTCACTGTGTGTCATGGCACTGCATTCTTTCTCTGCCTTCTAGTCTTTATTTACATTTGCCCGTCTTCTTGTTCTTTGATTTGTCGTCTTCCTATGTATTTGCTGCATCTTGGCTAAGAGAGCCATCTTGCTGGCAGAGGATTATTCCGGGGGAAATGGAGCCATGTGGTGACGAGACACTGAGGTGTGAGTCCCTCACCGGTTAGTCGTAAGAACGCGTATACATCCACGGAGCTGATGTTTAGATGGAGCGATCAGAACCAATGCCACTCTGAAGATGAGAACTCGATCCTCAGGATTAGTTACAGTAGCCGGCAAGGCTAAGGGCCAGAATTAAACCAGGAGCCTAGTCTAGGACGCCAGTGTCTCAGTTAGGACATTTTACTGCCATGTAAGACACCTTAGGCAACCTGGCACATACAGACTATTACAAATTCTTTCTCTAAATTCTCTTTAAAAATCTTCCAATACTTTTGATAGTCTATATCTTCTATATACTTAATACTCAGAGCCACCAATCTTCCAATACTTTTGATAGTCTATATCTTCTATATACTTAATACTCAGAGCCACCTGTTGTTAGGAATATTAAAATCTACACAAGGATGCTGTGGGTTAGTGCTCATTCAATGGTCCCAGTCCCAGAGTTGGCCTCTGGGCAGGCAACTGTTCAGGCAAGACTATATCCAAAGGCCAGGTGTGTGGGAGCACACCTTTAATACCAACACGTGGGAGGCAGAGGCAGGCAGATCTCTGTGAGTTTGAGGCCAGCCTGGTCTACATAGTGAGTTCCTGGACAACCAGGGCTATGTAGAGAGACAAAGCATGCGCAGATAAGGACAATCAAAGTCTATTTCTTAAAAGGATGCACAGTGGAGGCAGGGCACTTCCCATGGTGCCCGGCACGTGACAAACTCAGCATGTGTCAGGGGCTGTTTTATCACCAACAATCATTACCAGCCTTGCTTTTTTTTAAGCTACAATGTGTATGAAAAGATTATTACTTCAGGTTTCTATAGGACTCACACAGGAGTGGTCACGACTCCGAAGGACCGACCAGCCACACACAAAGACATTTTTCTTTTTTTGGCAAGCTATTGTATCGCCAGGCTCGCCTGAAACTGGTTAACCAAGGCCAAGGGCTGGGATGGCAGGGGGATGGCAGGTACATGCCACCATGCTTCCCTACCCCAACCCAAATCAGAACAGGAAGAAAAGGAGTAATTCTGAAAAGAAAATCACTAGGTCCAGGGCTAACGGTTTGATAATGCCTGGGAATTTCTGTATTCACAGCTGTCGATCCTCGACAGCTGGACCACATGTGTGATGCCCTCCTCTTGCCTCCGCGGCTACGGGAACATGCTCTAAGACGTGGCATTTCAGTCGGCTGCCAGGGCAGCCTATGTGGCTGATGGCAGACTGGGGTTTCCGTTTATCTTGAGAGCCTGCTGTTTTTGTATTTCATGCATCTTCTTGGTATTTAAAACGAGGAAATGCACTTATTACTGTTTTTACTCCACGATAACAGGAACAGGGCTTCTTGCTATTAACCAACCCCAATGCTAGCTACAAAGCAAGTGAACGATGTTAAATTATTACACGCTCCTAATTTAAGATTCCGTGGAGGGTCTCACCTGGTGCTCCCGTGTACATGATGGAGAAGACATTTATTGCTATAGTAGCGGCATAGAACAGAGGAAGCGCCTGGAGACCGTTTGGAACAGGGTCCTCCTGCATGACAAGGAGCAGAGTGGGTGTCAGGACGAGAACATCTGGCAGCAGCATAAACGAAGAGACGGGGTCCTGATTACAGGGAAGCAACACCGTGCGAGCTGCTGCCTCGGCTGAGGCCATCTCCCCAACACATCTGTGGCCAGCGCGTTAGGGAGCCACACGGGCTGACGTGGCTGAGTTCATCTTTGCACCTGCCAGTCCACCTCAACAACTGCAGGCTCTCTCCCCTCGGAAGTCTAGAGAGTCAAGTGACAGCCAACACAGCATGGATGGCAGATTTTAAATGACTCTCTGGCTAGACACATTTTAACTATATCAAAATAGATAAAGCAGGGTTGAAGTGGGTAAGAGTACTGGCTGCTTGCTCTTCCAGAGGAAGATTCCCGGCAAACACATGGAAGCTCACCACTGTCTCTATTCCAGTTCGAGGGAATCCAGCGCCCTGTGTGGACACACAGGCACACATGTGCTACACAGACACACTTGTAGGCAAAACACCCATATCCCCTTATACGGGGACAGCAAGACGGCTCGGAAGGTAAAGCACTTGCTCTTTCATAATGACGAGCTGAGTTCCATGTCTACCTGTCACGTGACCCCTGAGAGTTGTCCTCTGACCTTCACAAGCATGCCGTGGCATGTGTGTCCCCATGCACAATGACAGTAAATCCGTTCTACAGAGAAAACATTTTTACATGTGCTACGATCTTCAAACTCTTTTAATAGGGCATAGTACTTAATCTTCAGCTATTAAAAGTTAATATTGTGTGAAATGCAATGTTTATTTCTAATTCCAGGCTTTGGCTATGTGTCCATGATGAACTTACCTCTAAGCTATTAGAATGCTATTTAAATGCTATTTTTTTAAATATTTATTTATTTTATTTATTATGTATACAATATTCTGTCTGTGTGTATGCCTGACGGCCAGAAGAGGGCACCAGACCTCTTTACAGATGGTTGTGAGCCACCATGTGGTTGCTGGGAATTGAACTCAGGACCTTTGGAAGAGCAGGCAATGCTCTTAACCACTGAGCCATCTCTCCAGCCCTATTTAAATGCTATTTGTTTGACCTTTAGAATATGTATGTATGTTTTGCCTACACGTGTCTACGTGCATCGTAGGCACGCAGAGCCCATGGAGGTCAGATGAGTGCACTGGAACCCTGAGACTGGAGTTCAGAAGGTTGTGGACTTCATGGGGATGACGAGAACTGAACCTGGATCTTCTGCGAGAGCAGCAAGTGCTCCTAACTGCTGAGTCATCTCTTCAGCCTCACTCACCTTGGTTAAGATGAACATCCTGATGAGCACAAACAGCACACCAGACATGAAGCCGGAAAGAAGCGGCGATATAAACCAGGAAGCCACTGAATGATTGGGAAAGAACCCAGTGAGGGATAAGATTCACACACAAGTATATTTAAACACTACCACAGGAAGCGATCGATATATTGCCTATATGAACACATATTACCAGCACTGTCTGCCAGCGTCAGAGCCCAGCAAGCCCTCCCTCATGCACAGTCCCCAGGCCCAAACACACTCACATACGGCTGGTTACGCTGGTTCCCAAGCTCTAGCTTCAGTTTACGAATGAACTCCCTGCAGGACAGCGATGGCACTGTCCATTCTGAGTGAGCCCTGAGAGGGCTGTCAGAGACTGTCTAGTGTAGATGGACCACTGTGGGGAGGAACACCACAGTGCTTCCTCCAGGGGGCAGACCTGAGCAGTGGCTTTATCTGGGCTTCCCCACGACCTTAAACACTGACTCTTGGATTTAAGGCTTTGCCTCACTTGGGCCTAGCTCTAGTCTTTCTCAAACTCTATGCTGATTTCAGTGAAATTCATGTTTCTTCTGCTTGGCCAGGACAGATAAGATACTGATTTCAGGGGGCTGGAGAGATGGCTAAGTGGTTAAGATCACTGGTTGTTCTTTCAGAGGACCCGGGTTCAGTTCCCAGCACCCACACGACAGCTCACAACTGCCTGTAATTCCAGTTCCAGGGAGCCCAACACCCACGGCAAAAACACCAATGCATATAAAACAAAATAAATAAAAAATAACTGATTTCAAAAGCTAGACGATGCTGTAACATTTTAAGCATGGAGCTAGCTAAAACTGACAAGTAACAGTGAACTTGCCCCAGTAACGGAAATTGTAAAGGAAATGCATGACCTGCCTATACAATACTGGTCTTCTAACCCTTATCATTGAGGGGAAAGTATTGCAAGAGTAACTTTTAATAAAACTTACTCTAGAGGAGGCAAACTTTACTTGCTAAAGGTAAAAGAAAGATGCCAATTACCAATCTTGACAAGCTCCATCCACTGCACGCCTTTGGTACCGATTGCCACAAGGGAGAAGCCTATGGTAGAGCCGACTATGCAGTGAGTTCCTGAGATTGGAAGTCTCAGGAAGGATGCGATCAACTGCCAAACAGCTGAGCCTGTAGATGGAAAGATGAGTTAAAACCCCAGATACTCAACACAGCGTCTTGGATGCCTGGTAGGGGGAGGGTATCTACAACATCACGTCCCGGCGTGGTAGTTTGAATGCAACTGGTCCCCACAATCTCACAGAGAGAGGCATTATTAGGAGGTGTGGTCTTATTGGAGGAAGTGTGTCACTGTGGGGGCGGGCTTTGAGGTCTCATATGCTCAAGCCATGCCCAGTGTCCGAGTCCACTTCCTGTTGCCTGTGTAAGATACAGAGCTCTCAGTTACCTCTCCAGCACCATGTCTGCCTGCATGGTGCTGCCTTGGTCCTGCCATGATGATAATGGACTAACCCTCTGAATTGTAAGCAAGGTCCAATGCTTTCCTTCATAAGAGTCGCCAAGGACATGGTGTCTCTTCACAGAAATAGAAACCCTAACTAAGACACCCTGAGTTTAATTTTCTATGGATTGTTTTCTTACAAAACACCAACCTCCTGACAAAAGTCACTCAGAGTGATCACCAGCCATCACTGGTGAGTCTGCTGGAAAGTCTGGTTATGATGAGCAAGCAACTAAGATGTTACACATGAAAAATTTTTTAAGAGGCAATATATTGGGAGGAAGTTTTGTTCTGTCTTGTGGTCCATAATGAGACAAGCTAGAGACAAGCTAACAGGCCATATTAGTCCATGTAAGAGAGTAACATGTTGACGGCCCTTGACTTTTGCCATACATGTATGTGAAAAACAAAACTGAGATAGTTAACCTGAAACTGGGTATAACCTGAAGTTGGGCATTGCTCTCAGATCTTGTTTGCAATATTACTGGGAGCTCTGAGTTTGGCCTTGTGTTCTACTCTTGATGTTTTTCTAGGCTGTAGGTCATAGAAGCCATTTTCATAAGCAGGCCCTACACGGCAGGGAACACTGAGTTAGCAGCTGGGAGTCATCCCTTTCAGTGGCCGTTGCTAAGAAGGGCAAACAGAATGAACGACAACAAAAGGCCAGGCTGATAAAGTGGACTACCACTAACCCCACTGCTAACTGGGAAAATCAGGTTGCCTGGCAGTAGCAGCGTCCTTAAGCACCCCCTGGCCTTTTCTTCAAAGACAGCTGAGTGGCGCAGGTTCATCTAAGGCCACATAGGTCCTAGAGGGTGAGGCAAAGTGGACAGCCGCTCCAGCGAAGGCCAGGCATGCTGACCTTTGGAGTGGAGGCTGGGGGTGGCGCCATATACATCTCTGAAGTGTTGTTGAGTGAAGAAGGAATCAGCCATGTGCTACCGTAAGGTCAAGTCGCCAGGGTAGCACCCGCCTTTCTCTGGACAGTTCCCTAGGCTCTGTGACCTGGATCAGCAACAACTGGTTTGCCTTACACCTAAGACCCGAGTCAGGATCGGGTGTCCTCGATCAGAACTGTAATGTAAGAGTATAAACTTTATGGTTTTGTAATATTCTTATACAGTTAACCTGGTGATGCCGGAGGATGGTCTGAGCTCGCCCTGTGGCACGCAGACTGAATTTTCCTTCCCAAGTGCTGCATCATTTTTCTTGCTGACTTTAGAGGTGGCAGTGAGAGGTGGGATCATGGGAAGACAGGATGAGGCATGGTGGCACAGGGGCAGCCAGCGGACAGGAGCCACCCGACCCCTGGGAACTGCTGAAGGGATACAGGGTCACATGGACATCAAGAAGAAAATGTAAGATAATGACATCCTACAAAGAGGAAAACGGATGGGCTTTGGAACAAAGGTATCAAAAGAAACTCAGGTAAAATGGGAGACAGGCTCCTTTGAGATAGTAAGTGGTGTCTGGAAGATTAAATAGAAGGCAAACAAAGGTTCAGGGTCACATGAGGGTGAAGGGTGGGCATGAGGAAGGGTAGGGTGCTGTGTGAGAACAGGAAGTGAAGGGTGAGGAGGCTTGACGGTTTCGTGCCCTTCTTGTGGTGGCTTGAAGAAATGGTTTGTCCTGTCATTGTGTAGAATCTCCATGAGCGGATGCCCAGATTTGAATTCTCAGGTTTTTGGAAGCATTGCTGACTTTATATGAAGTGGGTTCATTTTCTACAGGGCTAAGCAAAGGGTCTCAAAAAATAGCTTGTTCGGGAAGTTTAGGTGACATTGAGAGGAGCTTCTACTCAACCCACTTACCTCTGACACCAGGCTTTTAGGCAGCACAGAGGCCCTAGGTCTGGGGACCAGTTAGAACAGAACAGAGTGACGCGGATTGAGAATGAAAAGACAGAGCAGGAGAGGAAGAGAAAAGCTGAGGAGGAGCGCAGATAGCGAGGATTTGGGGTTCTCAACAGACTTGGTCAGTAACAGAAACCTTGTCATGGTTTATTATTATTATTATTATTATTATTATTATTATTATTATTATTACTATTATTACTATTATTTTGGTTTTTCAAGACAGGATTTCTCTGTGTTGCTTTGGTGCCTGTCCTGAAACTAGCTTTTGTAGACCAGGGTGGCCTCGAGCTCACAGAGATCTGCCTGCCTCTGCCTCCTAAGGTGCTGGGATTAAAGGTGTGCACTACCACAGCCCGGCGACCTTGTCGTGTTATGTTCAGATGGAATTCAGTCTTTAAAATCAGGTCATACAAACTCCCAACCCAAGGAGCTCTCCAGTTCATCTAACCACAAACCAGAAAGGAAACAGCAGAAGCAACCACCACCCCCGAACAAACCCAGAGAAGAGAGAAACCAAAACAATCGTGCTATTCAGACAAACCCTCAAATTGCCTTGGTAAACCCAAATTCTAGTTGAGGTTAAGAAGAAAAACAATCCTTTACTCTTTGAATAAGGAGCCAAAGGCCGCGGGTGGGAAAAGTGAAAAGTGGACAAGCTACGCCGCTTATGAAACCGCAGCAGGGACAGACTGCTCAGCTCCTCCAAGGCTGCCACAGTTCTCAGTGCGCAGGCGCAGATGGCATCGCCTAGGTGCCAAGACTCCCGGAGAAGGTTCTGTCGGAGCGGGGCTCCACAGAGGATTGAACCTGTCAGTGTTTCTCTATTCCCCCCGTAGTTTCAACAGCCCTTTCTCACGACACCTTAATGCAGTGGTTCTCAACCCTCCAAACACTGCGACCCTTTAATACAGTTCCTCATGTTGTGGTGACCTCAACCATAAAATTACTTTCACTGCTTCTTCATAACTAATTTTTGCTGCAGTTATAAAATCATAATCTGGGTTTTTTTTTTTTTTGATGGTCTTAGGCAATCCTATGAAAGGGTCATATGACCTTCAGATGGTCGCGACCCACAGGTTGAGAAACAGTGCCTTAATGACCAAAAAAAACCCCTCAATTTTACTTGGCTATTAGGAAACTACAGGTTAAATTGTAAACCGAAACATCAAAAGTTAAATTAATCAATCTTTTCTTTTCTTGGTACCGGAGATGGCCAGGGCCTTCAGCATGCTAAGGATCCTGCTGTAGTATACTGTCCCCAAGTATTCTACCGTAGTTCTGAGGGTTGTTCTCAGAGCCTCATGCATGCCAGGCAAGCGGTCTTAGTCCAGAGGCACACTCAAACTCCTAAATATTTTTTTATTATAGCTACATTTTTGAAACATTCCATCATACACAATGAAAATCATTATAAGAATATAAATCAACTTTCAAGTTTGGTTATAGGTAAGATTTAAAACACAGTCATTATTTTATATGTCGATATGTATATAAATATATGTTTTTTTCCCCTAAAACAACAAAGCAATATTCTACACGTGGTATCCAGAGGCTCAAGTATATGTTTAAATGGCTAAAAGTTTGAGGAAAATGGATGCTTGCTTGTAAAAACCATAAAGCACAGGCAATGAAAATTGTATCGTAAGCACAGATTTAAACCAGCTTCCCGACAGTTAAAACGTAGGACCACCCCCTCTCCCCCATAGGAACGGCCATGGGACAGAGGGAGCCGAGGGCAGAGCTACTCACCAACCATTGCACTCACTTCCCCAGCCATGAGGGTCTCCACGGTGTCATTGTAGAGGTTCACGTCGATGATGCCCTTCCGGATCGTCTCCCCTACTTTCGCTCCCAGCAGCACAGAGCCCGTGGTTTCAAATATCGAAGCCAGAATGCACGCCTGTCTCAAGGTCACCACGCCAGAGCCCACTGCGGTTCCGAAGGAGTTGGCAACGTCATTGGCACCAACTGAAAAGGCCAGGATGAAAGCAATAATAAAACCCAAAATGACCATCCACAGATACCCATCCATGGCCATTTTGGAGAATGGGCTCTGGGGTACTTTTCTTGTGCAGAAGTATTTTAAATAAACAAAGTCTGAGGTTGCTAACTTCGGGAGGCCAAGAGTTCTTGCAAACAGCGAGTCTGGTCTGGAAAGTGCTGGACAGTGCTGAAGTCTGAAGAAACTGTTAGCTGCTGGTTTCGGAACTATGGGCAGTACAGTTCATTGGGTTGTGTTCATTCAGTGGTACAGCACATTCCATATTTTTCCTCCCAGCCTGGGAAAGCTGTGATTTTTCTTCCTATAGAAAGAGAACAAAGAAATCAATCACTATTGAGTACCTGTAACAGGTAATTTTTTCAGAAGTGTTTAAAGCCTGCTAATGGGATCTGTCTTTAGCATGCGACAGACCTGACCACAAAGCAATTCAAGGAAGATTATAATTAGTCTCCCCTCCAAACCAACCAGAAATAAAAGATAAAATACAAAGCTGGCTGCTAGATTGTTTAATACCCACAGATCGACAGGACGCCATTTGAGATGAAGTATCGTATGCAGTTTGAAAAATATATTTGGTCACTGTTTTCAGAGAACGATTTCCTCAAATGAGTAACAGATAAAGAATACATCAAAGTTATATTGTTTTTTAAATGCTTGGAATGTCCTGGCTCCTTGGAACACAGGTTGTGTGATCTCACTATGTGACAGTACAGGGAGAAGCTCATTGACATTGACGTGTGGGAAAGACGTGTCTTCAAACTCCGGAACAAGGTTACTCCTCCTGGGGGTGACCAAGGCAAAACTACTGAGCCTCAGAGGAGGGGCACAGAAAACAGAGAATGCAGCAGGCCAGGGCAGGCTGGTCACTAGCCACTGTCTCTCGTCTTTCTCAGGACAGACCAGCGACCTCCCTGGGCTAAGGTCACCACCCACCACCCACCCCTGACCGCTGTGGTCCCAGTCACCCCTCACCCCAGCTCTTCGGTCTCCGTGGTGGTTTGAATTGAGAACGGCCCCTATATGCTCACGTCTGAACACTTGGTCCCTTGTTGCTGGAACTGTTTGGGAAGGACAAGGAACCGTGGCCTTGTTGGAGGAGGTGTGTCACTAGGGTGGGCTTCAGGGTTCAGAAAGACTGGCACAATTCCAGGCTTGCTTTGCTGTCTTCTACTTTCGGGTAAAGCTGTGAATTCTCCACTCTTGGAGAATTCCTGCTGCCATGTCTTTGTGCCATCACCATGGACTCTAACCCTCTAATAAGCCCAATTAAATGCAATCGCGGTGTTTTCCACAGCAAAGTGGAACGTAACTAACACAGTGCCTGATGACTCCATCCCCCCCCCAACAGCCCCCACGGCTCCCCCCTGCTCCCTTTAGGAATCTGCTCCGTTGTGACACTCTGGATGCTGTCCTGATCCTGCAGAAGAGCACCCCTTCCTCTACGACCTCACTCACCCCTCTAAAAAAAAATCCAACTATCACCCAATTCATTCATTCATTCATTCACTCATCCATCCGTTAGGAGGTGTGGCCTGTGCTCTCCCATTAGATGACAGAGACCTCCAGTGCTGCAACTCCAGGATGTAGTAAATGATTATTTTACTACTGAATGGACAGAGAAAACAGCGAGGAAGTGGAGACAAGTTTTGCTCTGTCTCCCAGGAGAGGAGACACTACAAGAAACACACCTGGACAGGGCTGGGAGCATTACTCTGTTAAAACACTGTCAAGGAATCAGATTTGCCTTTGTTCTGTGTGGTGGGAGGCACAAACAGTGGAGCCCAACAATGTGTCCTTTCCTAAGTGCTCATTGCATTGGGCAGAATGAAGAAGGTTCATCTCCCAGGCGGTGTGCACTTTGGTCAATCACCAGTTAGGCATGGGTGGGAGAAAAGAGAATACAAATTCTTTAATATACAGTTTGATTATGGCAGTATAAAAAGTTAACACAAAAAGACCAAAAAGAGGCCTGAGAATGTAGCTCATTGGTAGCATTCTTGCTTAGCACAAATGAGACCCGGGGTTAAATCCCTAGCACGGGGGTAGGGGGAGGTTAAAAGGTAACACACACTAACTGATATTAGTGGTATAATCTATGAACTTTCCTTTCCAAAATGTATTTTGTGGTTACACGCTTCTCAAATGAGAAAATAACATATAATAAATAAGCCTACAAACATATTGAGCTATATATATAAAATGCAATAGTTATAAAATCAAGCAAAATACATACTGATATATCCTACCATAGTTTAAGATGGTTATTCTATGTAGGTTCTACGTGAGACAAATGGAAGGCTGCTTTAAGGCAGAAAATAACACCCTACTGAAGGAAAGAGAGTTTATGAATATGATTAGTATTAATATGTAGATGAAAATCAAAATAGATTTGGGGGGGCACTGGAGTTACGGCTCACGGTTAAGGGCACTTGTTGCTCTCCCAGAGGACCTGAGTTCTGTTCCTAGCACCTACATTAGGTGTCTGTGAGCCACCTGCAACTCCAGCCTCAGGCTGCCTAATGCCCTCTTCTGGCTTCTGTGGGAACCTGAAATACACACACACACACACACACACACACAGACACACACACACACGCCCAAACACACAAACAAACAAAACTGGGACCACTGCTCTTTCTCTTAAAACATTTTTTTTTTTTTTAAAGTGAAACCTTGCCTTCTATCTCGGGCAGGCTATAAGCCAAAGTGGTCACCCAGCCAGTCTTTGCAGGGCATCTCCTTCGTTAGCAATGCAGTAAGAGACAAATGGTGGTTACTGCCCAGCTGGGGTTGTCGGCACAGTGGCGGAAACAGACTCCAATCAAAAACGATGTAAGATTGATTCCGCGCTGCTGACTAGTACCGCAGGAGAACCTGGAGTACGTCCTCCTCTGAGGGCAGGGAAGGGCTTCTGCGATCCGGCAGGGTAAATGACCTCTGTGACCCTGGGAGGCATTTATTCCAGTCAGTTCTCACGGTGGGAAGGACAGCAGGTTGGGGGCAGGCAAGGAGGAGGGAAAACACGATGACAACCGAGCGGGGCCAATTTAAAGTACATATGTATGTACACATGTATATATGTATGCAAAACACATATACATATATACATGTGTGTTTACATATTTATTTATTTATGATGCATAAGTGCACATGCCAGGGAGGGTCAGGAGGGGGTCAGAGGACAACCAGTCGGAGTCTCTACTTTGTGGATCCCAGGGACCACACATAGGTCACCAGGCTTAGGGACAAGTAACTTTACTTGCTGCTGAGTCATCTTGCCAGTCCAAACACAGGACTTTTTAAAAGACCATCCTGGCCATGGTGTGGAGGACAATCTGCTCAGGAGACAAAGTGTCAATGTGGGCAGAAAACTCTGTGCTGTGTGCAGAAGCCGACCATAAGGATGCTGGATTAGAACACGGGCAGATAAAGGGAAAGAGGCAGCCTCATTCACAGCCCTGGGCTAAGAGGGGCTGGAACGAAAAACAACTAAGTGGCTTTCTCCCTTGTTGGGTGGTTTCTTTTCAGTGACAGGAGAGGGGTTGGTGACAGGCTTTCTTGGACATGCTGCACAAAGAAGTAAATCACCAGAACATTGGGGAGAGTAGCTGGTGACATGCCAAATGGCTGTCCTTTGCTTTGTTTGGGTGGGAAATTAGTCATTTTCTTATGTTACCTTTGACACCAATTCCAGCCCAGAGATTCCCTTTTCTACTGAGGTTTCTTATGTCCACTACCATCAAGACTTTACCATGACTTCACCTTCGTGTTCATGCCCTAACCATTGTACTCATGGCGGGTAAGTGCTGGGCTGAGGAGACGGAATCACCACTCTAGGTAATCTAAACAATCTCTCTCATCTTCAAGATACTTTGTATCTATAAGGACAAGCAAAGCACTTTGGATTTTCCCCTTTCCTGTTATTTATTTTTATTAATCTCAAGTGAAACAAAACAAAATGTACAAATAAACACACTACTGACTGGAGAGATTGCTCAGTGGTTAAGAGTCTACATTGCGTTTGCAGAATGCACAAGTTTGGTTCCCTGCAAGCTTGTCAGGTGGCTCAAGACTGCCTGTAGCACCAGCTCTGGAGGATCCCACGCCCTTTTCTGGACATCTCAGGTACTACACTCAAGCACATAAACCAACGTGCAGACATACACACACACAATTCAAAACAAACCTTATAAGAAATAACCCCACAATCTGGAGCACAGGAGAAGATGGTAAGGCTTCTTTAACTGAGACCATGATGAGCCAGATGATGCCACACAGACAGCCAAATGTTAACTTTCTAAGAACTATAGATGTCCAAGTTCAGAGCAGTGGAGATCTGCTGAGGTATTACATAAGAGGGAACTGATGGCCGGAGAGCAGAATTGTGAAGATCGGTAAACATTGACTCAGCCAATAAATGATGTTGAGACAACTCAGCACTGGCTATCTGGAAAGGGAAAAGCTAGACTCAGGGGCGGGAGGGCGACTCAGCAACCAAGAGCACTGTTTGTTCTCCCAGAAAACTCAGGTTCAACCCTTAACATCCACATTTGCCTCACAATTGTAACTCCAGGCCCAGGGGACTTGATGCCTTTTTTGGCCTTCGAGGGCACTGCATAAATGTCATGCACACAGAATAAATTCTTTAAAAAGAAGAGCTATATTCCTTAGCTGACATCAAAACAAATGAGTTTTAAAAGTAAAAACTGAACTCTAAAGAGACTAAGAAAAGATACAACTAGATATTTATTTAATATTGGAACGGGGAGGCTTAGATATGAAGTAAAGGCAATTTATAAAAAGAACCGACAGTGGAGTTTATAAAAAGAAGATGGAGAAAGATATCTTTTTTAAAATGATTTTTTTTATATGTATGAGTGTTTTGCCTGCATGTATGTAAGTGAAGACAAACATTCTCAGGCTGCTTTTGGACAGACTCACATCTATTTTAAACCAGGAATGTGAAGGAATTGTGGCCCCAAGCACATTTATGGAAAACAAGGTTTGGGTAAGAAGGTCCCTGCAGCGGAGTACTACGATGTTGGGACCAACTGAGTCCCGGCCTTCAGCTGCTCTTCCCTGCTAGAGCCTTCTAATTGAAGTTACTAGAAGCTGTGCTTTGCCTAGAGGATCAGAGGCTGGGATTTTCACCTGTTGGCCATTGACTGCAGGGTATTTAAGCCTCCATGGTGCTATTAAAGAAGGGCTTTGTACCAGTGATTGGAGGTCTGTGTGTCGGTCTGTCTCTGCGTGTGTTTCCTCAACCTCCAGCCCTTTGCCTGAAGCTTGCAAACTGGATTC